AGCTGTCTGAGAGTCACTTTTCGCTAAAATTGATGGTTTTCCCTGCAAAGTGAAAAAACTGTTTTCCTCACTTATTTGTTTAAATAGAAAAGTTAGCTAATAAAAGTTTTTGACTCACGAGACGAGAGATGTCTTGTATTATGTTCCTTTAGACAATTTTACAATAATATAGCGGATAGGACTTTTTTCGAGTTTCTCTTTTATTTTCGCTAATTTTCCTGGTGTATTTAGAACGAAAAGTAGTAGAGTCCGATAAAAGCATCGGGTTAAGACGCCAGACGAACAAGAAAACAAAAAAAAAATATTGTTAAGAAATTGCATCTTCTTTTTACACTTTTCTGTTTAGATACGTAGCATATATTCCAAAAAATTTCTACACACAGAAACACGAAGTAACATAATAATATAATTTCCATCGGAAGACTTTTTTAATAACTAAATTGTTAATTTTGTTTAAACCTTTGTAGGGGAAAAATATTTCTTTGAAAACGAATAAGTCTTTGAAAATATTATATTATTATATTAGTTGTATGCGAAGTGTTTTAATTTTTATTAAAAGGTATTTTTGTTGAATGTCCGTTTACATTTAAAAAAATTTTGAACGTTAGAAAGATAATGTTAGTATATATTTTAATCTTTGATCAATAAAAATATTTTACTATGGGTAAGTATGGTACTTTATATTATTCTAGTCTTTGAATCAACCAAAAATAATAGCAATAATAGCAATTGTAATTTTTTTAGATTCGTTCATCTTGTATTTTAATTTTATGCTACAGCTATTTAATAATAAGCGATTTAATAAAAAAAGTGCGAGGTATCTACTAGAAAAATGAGAAATACAAAGAAAAAAAATGCATACTTAATATTAATCAATACCCAAGTACAAAATCTCATTTTATTTGTGAATCCTAGCATCTGTTTTTTCATTTTTCATTTACTCATGACAAAATCATTGTTACCAATTATTGTTGCTGTATCGACAAACTAAAATGTAATGGTATTGCAGATGGGATATTTTTGTACCAATTTACTAAACATTACTCTGCTAATGTAGTACCATTAAAATTAAAACGTATAAGAGCGTGCTCCTAATCGCTCAATTGCCATTTTCCACTTTCAAAGTAATTGTTGTATGAGGAATCAATCATAATGTAATTACTTTAAAATGTACCTTGTACCTCCTCCCGTTAGGAGATCAATCTACCTGAGCCCCTAACCAACCTACACTAATGCAAAAAAATTAGAGTGTCAAAAGAATTTCCGAAATTTTTCCGCGATTTTTGACGGACCGTATTTAGGTGAAAAATGGTCGTATCGGGAATTAAAAAAAAGCATTTTGAAGCTCCAAGATTCTAGTTTTTAGTTCTGTCGGTGGAAATTTTTTGAGAGCAAGGTTATGATACAATTCTAAGAAATAGCGCGACATAAAAAATTTTGCAATTTTTTTTTTATTTTATTTAGTCCACGGACATAGAAAAACATTTTCTTTAGCTAAGCCATTGAATGGACCAGATAACTTGTTTATTTAGCTTCAATTTCCTTTATTTTAAATTTCGATACGACCATTTTCCATGGAAATATCGGACTTTTAATGGAAAAGGATCCTTTTGTCTTCAATCATCAATATCTCGGCGACAAATGGTCGTACTGGAATAAATTTTTTATAATATGCTGCCGCAACTTTTCGAAAAAAATATTTTTTTCTTCTTTTAAAAATTAAAAGGAAAAAAAGGGTAAATTTTGTTTTTTTACAAAATTGACGGCTAAATTAGAAATATTCACGAAATGACTGTTACAGTTCGATATACCCAGAAGAACCCTGTGAAGTTTCATCTCGATCTAGCGAACCGTTTCTTTGTTTCAAACAGTTAAACTTTTGAAAAAACTTAAAGGGTGACGTTTTTTGAGCTTAAACACTTCATAATCATAATTAAAATGAAAAAAAAATTTGTTGTGGTTTTCTCACATTTTTACCGTAAGTAACGTTTAAATCGGTGAAAAAAAAAAAAAATTCGAAAAAATTTTCGAATCCGTTTGTGATGACGTTGACTACATCTTCACGAATGGTCTCCTCCTGTCTTCCAATGAGTACGGTGTAGAGTCTGTCGGGCATGTCCTCCTCAATTAAAATAATGGGGTCCACCTAACGCTTCCGGCCGGTTATTATACCCGAAGTTGACATCATTTTCGTTATTTTAAATGAACCACCCTGTATATTATTGCAATTTTTGGATTCTACGTCGATTTTTAGGTGAACTTTCATAAAGGTTTCCTATTCTTAAAGTTAACCGTTTTTGGTATATTTCATTTTCTCCAAAAATAAAATTAAAAAGCACTGCCTAATTCAAAAAGATGTGTATTTTACAATAATAAAGTTAGAGCGATAAAATTTATAGGAGACATAACTAAAAGTCTAAACTTCCCCGCATATTTTCAAGATGACTTAATTTTATACATGGTGATAGACATTTAATGCCGAATTTAGTCAATTTTAAACCATCTTGACTTATTTTTTTAAATGGAACACCCTGTATATTCCCGGGCAACGTGATGCACAATTTTGTTCTCTTTCGAATGGTATAATGGTTCCCTATACCTATCTCTTCTGGTTTTCAAGGTATTTAAAGAATGGAAAACGTTATCATTTATTCAAATGCTGACATTCTAAATTTATTATTTATTCATGGAGAGTGTCACAAGATAATAAATGGGACTTGCAGGGTATTTAATGAGATATATCCTCATCTACCACTAATGAGTAGACACATTTTATGAAGAATTTTAAGAAATCAATTAGAACATGATCGAATTTCTGCACATAGAATTTTGCCAAAGCCTGAATTATCAGTTCGTGCTGCTGAACAGGATTTAGGCATTTCAAAAACCTCCATCCAAAAGATTTTGAAAACTAATGGTTGGCATCCGTTTAAATTCAATTTTGTACCTTAAGTTTATCCCGGGGATGCTGAAAGACGAACCCATTGCCAGTTCTGTTAAATGATTTTAACGCAAACACAAGAAGATCCAGAGTTTTTAGGCAAAATCATTTGGACAGATGAGTCAAAATTTAGTAACGAAAACACTATTGCCCAAATTTTCAAAACTAAAATAGAAGTAGTCTCTAAAATATGTCAAATGTTTCGTCACATTGGTTCCCCTGTATATCCTTACAAAGGATTAAAAGAAAATTGTACTCACCACTGACTGAACCAGAAACCAGATGCTGAGGGCAATGTCAGAACTCAGAACATCCTCTTGCCCTTGCCAGGTGACAGCTTCTATTAGGCAGCAGAGTATGTCCACAACTAAGTTGAAGCTCAGGAGCAACACGGGCCAACCACACAAATTGTTCAATGCGTCTATGAAGTCGTCTATCTGTAAATACATTTTCTGCACCTCCTTCAGCGTACTTCTTAAATGTACGTTGGCTTCGTAGCACCTATTAAGCAGTTGACGTACGCAAACGTACTTGTACTTAGCCAAACCAACCGTATAAACGACCATGAAAGCTATCAGGAAAATAAAGTAACGGAGTACGTAACTTGACGCATAATATGGAACTATCGCAAGATCGTATTCTATGTCCGCAACAAGAAACCACAACAAACCAACGAGCAAAGACAGATTTTCTAATATGAATATGACTTTAGCATATTTAACAACATGAACTTGCATCGTTACTTCAGGAACTAGTTCCATATGGGAGGATCCTAACTCCCTGCACAATTTTTCCCATACGTGCATATTTCCAAAAGCTACTCTTAAAATCGTTACCAAGATCGTAATCAGTGATGACATGTCATCCAGAACTTCTAAACCTTCCTCTATCGAAAACACGTCATCATAAACTATAGAGTGCCGAGCATACGTGAGCTTTAGACTAGCACATGTCAACAGAAGAGCTAGGATTGAAGTGTACCATTTGAATATCACCTTACGGACCAATCTACTCTCGCTGAAGCTGTACCACGGGGCTATGCCGAAAACGGACGAAAATAACACTAATTTCCTGAAGAAAGAAGTTGAATTGCGTCTTGATATGGTAATCATTGTATTACTCGCGTCCGCAACACACTGAAACGTATTGAGATGGCAACTACAGTTTGTTTGTATCCGTTTATTTAATCTTCATCGACATTACATGATTATCACTTTGTTTATTAAACTGTCGCCTCCAAATATCGATCGCCGTTCAGGGTATTAGGGGTTTAAAAAGTTGTTACTTTTATGGGGAATTTAATTCTAAAACTTTTCTTACTCTTGTTAGTTTTCAAAAAAACTTTGTCGTTTTCAATAAAAACAGGAATAACTAATATACGTATTTGTAGCTGTTATTTAAAATCATCGAAAATCAAAGGTTGGCTATGAATTTAGACGTCAAACATGATGACGATCAAGAAAAAATGTTGTTTAATTTTAGTAATTCCTTGCCGAGTGTTTTGAAAATGGCCGGGAAGTTTCCATTTAGCGAACAAGCTGACATGCTATTAGTGTTAGGTTTCTGTGAAGGAAACTACAGAAGTGTTGAAGAATATCGGAGAAGATTTCCAAATTGTGTAATCCTCCATATAGAAACATTTTCCAATGTTGAAAAACGGTCTCGAGACAGCCAAGTTTTTCAGTAACACTCGAGAACATGCTTATTGCAATCAGGGCACAAGACGCAGAACTTTCTTTGAATGCAATTGAAGATGACCCTCATATTAGTACTAGAATTCTATCTCGACGAACTAGTGTATCGCAAACTGCTGTGCACCGAGTGATCAGACGTAATCTACTACACCCATATCATAGCCAAAAAGTGCAAGAATTGTTACCGAATGATTTGGTTAAACGAGTGAATTTCTATTAGTTTATTTTACAACAAGGCATTAATTTCCAAAGCAAATTCTCTTTACTGATGAAGCTTGTTTCACCAGCAGAGCTATTACAAAATTCGGTCCAGTTATTTTACTGAATCGACTAAATGGCGAAACTTATTTTAGAATTTCTCCAAAACACTCTCCCGGATCTATTTCGCGAGGTGCCACTTCAACTCAGACTGGAACATTGGTTTCTGCATGATGGAGCACCCCCTCATTTTAGTAACATTTTTAGAGACTTTTTAAACCAGTATCCAAAAAAATGGATTGGAAGAGGAAATAATTGCCCACAAATCTGGCCTCCACGATCACCAGACCTCAACAAATGTGACTTTTTTCTTTGGGGAACGTTAAAAGAATTTCTGCATCCTCACCAGTCGAGCAGAATTGTGGAATCGCATTACGGATAAATTCACGTTCATTAGAAACAATCAGCAGTTATTGAATAGAGACTTCAATTTTCGACGGAGAATAAATTTATGCTTGAGAGAAAACGGTAATAATTTCTGAACAATTTCTATAACTTATCAGTGCAAATTGTATGCTATTTCTGTTGTTTAAGATGTTTGTTTTTTATTAAATTATTCCTATTCCAACTTTTTTTCCTAATCGTCAAGTTTGACGTTTAACCCGTAGCCAACTTTTAAATTTTCGATGATTTTAAATAACAGCTGCAATACTTATTATTAGTTATTCATTTTTTTGTTGAAAACGACAAAGTTTTTTGAAAACTGACAGGAGTAAGACAAATTTTAGAATTTAATTCCCTATAAAATATAGTAATAATTTTTTAAGTCCCTAATACCCTGTATATTATTTCTACAATTAAAATCATTAAAGTGTTTGCTTATAATATAAAGATAAGTAAAAAAAACTGTCTAATATACTGTCTCCGAAACACACAACCATTGTCGTTTCAAAGAATTATAAAAAATATAGACGTTCGAAGTACTATGTTTGAATTAAAGCAAAAACAAAATATGTTTGAACTTGTGGAAGGAGGAGATTTACTTACCGCTGATCCAATTCCATATATACCATTTGTAGCAATCATTTTTGGATTATTCATTTGGTAGTAGGTACGGTCCCATTCAAATTGGCATCCTATTGCAAACGCAAAAAAGATTTGAATTTGCACAAGTAGATTAAAAAAGAGTACTAGCAATCTCCAACCAAACAACGTATTAAAAATGTCTACTAGTTCGTCCATGCACATATACAACTTTTTTAGTTTTCTAATTCTTGGTAGGACGTTACCAATAAAGACTTCCCGAGGGTTGAGTTCAAGTAAACCACATGTCGCCTTAAATTTAGATCTAATTCCGAAGAGAATATGAAAAATTGGGTATGCGACGATAAAGTAGAAGTAGCGAAATATGTACATCGATATGTAATATAAAGCAAACGTGTTTTTATAAAAAACGTCGAAAAAGATGGCGGTTAAAAATACTAGGTTGCCTAAAATAAATACCATGCTGGTGTTAGGAAATGTCGCACTGGTTGCTTTGCTGATTATGCGGATTTTCTTTAAGAACTCTTCCCACATCTGCCTTTTACTGAATAATCCCAACACTGTAACTGTTATGGAACCTAAACCTCCTACGTCGTTTAATATTTCCAAAACGACCCATTCTGAATTGGCGGTATGATGTCTCAATCGAAGACAAAGAAGAGTTAAACTTAACGTTGTCACTGCAATCACTAACACCGCACAATAAACCTTAAATATTATCGGAGTGAGCAGTTTGATTTTCTTGAGGTCATACAAAGGCAACACACCAAGCACCGACAGAAAAATTGCCACAGGTTTTGGGAAAATTGAAACATTCTGTTGGAACTCCATGTCGTCAAACAGACGCGGCTCACGCCTCGACTAGAAACAGACGAATGGATTGGCTTTTAGCTAATGGATTGTATTGAAAATATCATTACGGTAATGCCACGTCATATAAGGCACTGTATATTGGATTGGTCTTTAAAAAATCTATTAGAACCTTACTGCTTCAAAACTTTAAAAAATAATTACCTATAACCTATTGCGATATTTGCCATGAATTTAAGTACATATTCATAAAATTAATATTTTGTACCCTGTATATGATTCCATTAATCTTGTAAGGTTACAACATTGCATTTTGCAGTATACATGCACATGAATTCATGTTATTTAAGGAAATAGAATTTATTGCACAGTAAATCTTAACATGATCACATTTAAGTCTTCTGTAAAGTCATTGATGAATATTAAAAACAACTGCGGCCGGAGCACCGAACCTTGAGGCACTCCAGATGTTTCGTTTAACTTTTTTAAAACAAAGCCGGTATGTGTTCTATTATTCAAATATGTAGTTAATAAACAGGGACAACCCAACATATTATTACGATTGTAAACGTATAAAGCTAATTGATATTCCAGGAAACAAGTCATTATACTTACCAATGAGTGAAGGACAAACAATATGGAGATTTTCACTTATAATTTCTACCAAAGTGCTAAGTATATACAGGGATGGCCAGAAGTACGGAATAAAATTCATATCTTTTGAATGAGTTAATTTTTTTTAAAACGCCGAAACACGATAACTGATTTTGATTTTTTCCCATCTTTCGGTTATCTATCTTTTGGGACGAGGACAATTTTTTTATTAAATCGAAAGTCGATATTTACGAACAAACCGATATGTGTCTCAAAATTCGCGCAACTTCTCAACAGGAACATCAATTCTATACCGTGATCAAGAATTGGACGCTTCGACAAGCTCTTTAAAAGGTATTCTCACGAAAAATTAGCATCTTCATGTTTACAAAGCTCAGTTGACTCAAGGACTGAAGCCTACTGATCACACAAAGCAAAGACAGTTCGTTGAATGGATTGTGGACCAACAAATCAAAAATTATAAGATCGACGAATTATCAGACTTTCAGAAATATTGAAAAACGTCTTCGAGAAACTGGCCAGTTTAAAATTAACCGAGATAATGCCGGACGTTCTCGTCAAACCTGCAGTAGATTCAAATGTAATGACATTGCAGGGGGGATATGTTTGTATTCAGTAGGATGCACTTAACATATCAATATTAGTTTAAAAGCCTGCTAACACAACCATCCATTAAGTATCATTTGTTAAGAAAGAAAAATGTCAATAACTGTATAAAAACAGTTATTTATAAATTATAAATATTACAACTTAAAATTCGTAAAATTCGAGCATCCCTTAAAACAGCTATTTCGTATATTGAGTTGCATAACAATTAGTTTTCATTCGATTACTGCATTGAACTATAGAGTTCTATGGTGAAATCTGTATAATAGTTTGTTTTTTGTTTGTCTGGTTATTCCTGTCATTTGGGGTTTGTTTCTGTGAGACTGTGAGCTGTGATTTGGTAGTGATGGGCATAATTAGGGTTACCAGACGTCCGGATTAATCCGGACATATCCGGGTTTTTACTACGTCCGGGTGGATCCGGGCGGATTTTTCATTAATGTCCGGATTTTAAGTTCATAAACATCAAATAATGCAAAATACAAAATAATAAACTAGTTTTAAAAAATGTAGTTATTTAACCGTTTGAGTGCTAAGCAGCAATTTTGCGCTTCTTCTGTTTCGCTCGAAAAGTACCAGCAGCCCTCTAGGCCCCGCGGTGTCAGTGTGTACAATGTGCCAATCGCTTGGGTAATCTGGCATGCGCGGCAGCGGTAGGCCTAGGCAGCGGGATTTCGGGGAATCACCGATACATTTATTTACATTATTTTCCGAATATTTATGGTTACGTTACGCAGTTTGCGACTTTCGCTGATTACACATCGTTTTAAACGTTTTACAATAGTTTTTCGTAATGCCGAAACGCAAATGTACTTATTCGGATGAAATGTTCCGGTTGTATCCTTCCTTTAAGAAAGGAAAGACAACTAGCGAAGTAATTTGCAATGTTTGCAATTGTTCAATATCAATTGCCCATAAAGGCAAGCTTGATATTGAGACCCATATAAAAAAGGATAAGCACAATCAAATGTTAAAAGCTCAAGCGGGAACTTCTGGGCTTCAAAATTCAATACTTAAAAAACTGGCTCAAACCATTTGAAGAATTCCAATGTTTTAAATGGACGAGCCTAAATATAAATATTACCACGTGTGATTGGGACAGTGACGTTGTGCCCTCATTACTATATTTAATATCAAAAGGAGTTGAAATAGATGACACTAAATTTTTTGATGAATTTTGTAATTTAAAAAAATATATATCAGAAAATTTTGATTCCGATGACCACAATCTGCCTACTCACGAAAAATGGGCAAAATATTTTAATGCAAGTATATCTGAAGAAATTTTTTCACAGTTACTAAAAGCAGCCGAATTTCTTTTTGCCATCCAATCTCACAATGCCAATGTGGAAAGAATATTTTCACTTATTGCAGCCCAGTGGACCAAAGAAATAGGCTGCTTTTATCTTCGGTAAAAGGCATACTCATGACTACATATAATTTAAAGAATATGAGCTGTTCCGAGTTTTATGATTTTGTACTTTTACCAGAAAATTTAACTTTTTTAAATAAAATACAAAGCAGTGAAAAGTACTTGTAAGTGTGTTGTAACTTGTTTTACTTTCTAAGTTTGAATAAAAAATGTATTTTTTGCTCGTTTTATTAGTAAAATGAAAATGGTATAATGATAACCATCATAAATCAGTAGATAATGTGAAAATTGTTACTTTGCTAAAAAAAAAATATGACGGTCGAATTTTGTCCGGATTTTCTTAAAGGCTTGTCCTGGGTGGACAAGTTTTCATCTGGTAACCCTAGGCATAATCGACCAATTTTGATAATCGAGTTATCGGTAATCGAGTACTTCTAATAATCGAGTGATCACTCGAGATACGAGATATTGGTCGTTTTCATGTTTGTATTAGTCATATATTACTTATAAGCGTAGCTAAAAAAAAAAAAAAAGCTCACGCACTTCAAAACCTAACCACTTTTTCGTTTTATTCTAAAAAAAATCAGTGACTATTTGCAGTATGCACTGACATTTTGAGGTGCAACCGTAGGGTAATAATCACTCGAGTGGTGGGAGTAAACATCTCGAGATATCTCGAGTGATCTCAATAATCGAGTACCACTCGATTTTTCACTCGAAATCTCCCATCACTAATCTCAATGATCGAGTACCACTCGATTTTTCACTCGAAATCTCCCATCACTAATTTGGGGTATTGTTTGTATATTTACATTGTTTACAACTGTGTACTAATACTACTAATAAATTTGCAGTTAATGCAGTTTGTAGAAGCCCGATTTCATTATTATCACATAATATTTCTAGTAAAAAATTGCTTCTCTGTGAAGTTTAAGTAAATATTATATAAACTTTCTAAATGTTTTGTCAAATAGTTTAACCTAAAAGAAAAACAAAACTAGAAACAATTCTATATTTTGCGAAACAAATAAAACTACAATACCTTACATATTTTGTTCATACTTATAAATTAGGTATATACATAACCCTATAATATCAAATTGTGGCTAAAATTAACTCGTTTGTAAAAAATAACTCCTGAGTAAATCCAACGCCTTGTACCTATGCGATATTTTATTCTTCTCTGCCTTGGGCATCTCGGCATACGTAACTTCGTACCCAACAGGCTGAAAGCACGGATCCCATCCGAAATCTCTGGGTCCTCGAGGATTAACAATCCGTCCGTCCGTCTTACCTTGGAATAAAATTACTTCGTCATTTTCACCTCCCGGGTGATAGGCAAACGTACAAACGGCTTGAGCTGACTTATCATCGAACCCCTCTAACAGTTTTGGTAAACCCTCCGGGCCCAATTTCTCCAAAAACCACTTTATGTAAGGTCCTGGCAAACCCTTAAGAGCATCAAAGCATAAAGCCGTGTCTTCTACGAATACAGGTCCCCGTACCTGTCTGTGAGCTTCTTTCGCTTTTAGTACTGATATTTCGTTTATTTCGCCTTGTAATTCAGGTAGATCCAGCTTTTTGCTAACGAGTTGTCTTGGGAAGTCAGCACCTAAGATTTGTATAACTTCCTCTAACTTCTTGGCATTGCCCGTTACAAATATGATCGGTTTCGACATTTTCTTTACGAATAATTTATATTTCTTTAAATTATAAAGTATTTACAATTGTATTTTAATATCTATAAACACAACACACACACACACACATAAACCTTTTAAATATTGAGGTTAATTTACTATCATCTTTCATCTGTCAGTTTGGTGGTAATGATTGCCACTGATGGCAGCACTAACACACTAGCACTCTCGTACTCCATGCATAATAGGCAAATTTTGGCTAGCGTAATTTAAAAAAGGTGTCTTGTATAATGACGTCAGTAATGAGAATGGTAGCGAACTTCATACAAGTCATAAGTATATGTAAATATTAACGTACTTACCATTGACTGGAATAGATAGCAGCCGTTAACAATTCTAACCTTCATGTTTACTATGTAGACTTCATCTCGCCAAGTAAAAGCACTCTGTGCGCCTTGCACCAAAGCGGATAATATATGTAACACCAAATCAGAAAATAGAAATACCAGGGGCCACCCAAACAACATGTTAAAAATTTCTACAACTTCATCCACATCCGTGTATAATCTTCTTATATTCTTGAGTCGTGTAATAAGGTAATTATTGGTATTATCACACGTTCTAGACAATTCGTTAAGATACATGAACTTGCGTCTGATTGAGTAGGCTATGTTGATAATCGAAAATGATATTAGAAAATCAAAGTAGATAATTATGAAATTTGCTGCGTAGTACGGGGCGATTTCATTTCCTTTGTCGACGACAAAATATTCGAAGCAGTGCAGGGCCATTAAATAAATATTTCCTGTGATAAATATAACCATTGAGGGTTTCTTAGTGACGAGTATATTTCTGTTGTACATGTTTTCCCAAGTCTTCATATTCCAAAAAGCTGCTCCTAAAACGATTACTAATACATCGGCTAGTGATACTAGTTCAAGTAAAATATCTATAATTACTTCCGGTGAACCCAAGTCAATTTTAAGTAAATGAGATCTGATGTAAAGCAGTCCCAAAGTCAGTGACATCAATAGGACAACTATAGTGGTTGAATAGATTCTGAATGCTGTTATGTAAATGAGCCTATGTTCGTTGAAGTCGTACCATGGCACTATACCAAAGGACGACAAGAAGTACGTTAACTTTATGGTGAAAGAGTTATGATTTTGTCGAGGTATGGAAATCATATTTTATATTCTTCACCGTAGAGAATTCACACACTTACTACTCCATGTTCCTCATTTCAAATTACAGTAATATATAAATTAGAAACACTCACTTCATTGAATTATATAAATGTAAACAATTCAATTTATTTATTGGATATTCGGCAATTACTTAATGGTTTACTTGTGTTCAGAGAAAGCAACGTAATACGTTCATATTAGAAATTAAAAAAGCAATTTCCATTACATTAATCTTGACTACGTAACATTAACTAAAGGTCGATAAATAAAAATTGTTACAGTAAATATTTCATTATTACTTTGCGGCTCCATAACTAATTAACTGAACAATTACCTATTTGTTCACTGTTTTATTTGAATAAATATGTATATAATTTTAACCGCTTATTCTTTATTATTCTTGAAAATTCAATACAAATTAACTCCGACCCTTATCTAAACAACTTAACGTCTCAAAAAAATTCAATTCAAAATAATAGATTTAATAAAAATATAAATACCTGACCTAAACCTAACTTGACTTGCATAAATCGTTGTTTTCCAAAATTTCGTGCTTACTATTATTTGTAAAGGTGCAATTTAAATTTATTCTATTTGGGAAAAAAACTTGTTTCTGACACATCGAAATGGTTTGTATGCTGTGGTTACTGGCGCCTGTAAAATTGAGTTACGTATCTCTTTCTAATGAATGAAGTTGTCATAGGTTGGTCGTTGACAATTTAGTAATTTTGTCTTTGTCACTAAATGTGATGAATTTGGTTGGTTTTTGGTTTTTGGCACATACTTCTATCCTATAGAAGTATGTGGTTTTTGGTACTTTTGTGCTGATCTGATTTTGTTTAGCGTTTTGAGGTTGTGTATGATTAAATTTCTAACATATAAATATAATGCTGTATCTTTACTGATGCTTTTTAAGCAAATTGTATTTTCTTGATCCTTTGTCTTATTTCTGTAAGTACTTGAGGATACTTCGTTATGTCTATTGAGATCGAATCGGCAGAGTAGGTACCAACTAACCTAACTTTTCCATTTTATAAACAATTAAATTTTCAGCGTTATTCGTCTAATACAACAATATTTAAAGGAATCAAACCTATTCAGGACTCTACATACATTACAGGTAATGATTTTGATAAATACTTTGATTTACTTTTTTTATAACGTAATTTCAGGAAGAAACTGGAGTAACGCTAAATACCGTGGACAGCGTAGATGGTTTCTGTGCTGACATAAACAATGGTCACTGGGACACTGTCCTTAAAGCCATACAAAGCTTAAAATTACCTGATAAGAAACTGATTGATTTATACGAACAGGTTCTATGAAAGGTCTCTTATGTTGTAATTATCTCTAACGGTGAATCGTTTCAGATTGTTTTAGAGCTTATTGAGTTGCGAGAACTGGGAGCGGCACGATCCCTGCTGAGACAAACCGATCCTATGATAATGCTGAAACAGAATGAACCGGAAAGGTACATCCATTTGGGTAAGTTTATAAACTTGAGAGAAACCAGACACCACTGCTAAATTTTTGCAGAAAACTTATTGGCTAGGTCTTATTTCGATCCGCGGGAGGCCTACCCAGACGGCAGCAGCAAGGAGAAGCGCCGCGCAGCCATAGCGCACGCTTTATCCGGGGAAGTTTCCGTCGTACCCTCGTCCCGTTTGCTCGCTTTGCTGGGTCAGGCTCTAAAGTGGCAGCAGCATCAGGGACTGTTGCCGCCTGGGACCACTATCGATTTGTTCCGGGGCAAAGCGGCCGTCCGCGAACAAGAAGACGAGACTTTTCCCACGCAAATGGCGAAACAGATCAAGTTCGGGCAGAAGTCTCATGTGGAATGCGCGAGGTTCTCGCCAGACGGGCAGTATCTCGTCACCGGGAGCGTCGATGGTATTGTAGAGGTGTGGAACTTCACCACGGGCAAGATTAGGAAGGATCTGAAGTATCAGGCGCAGGTAGGTGGTCACGTAATCCAGAAAACGTTTATATACGCTGGCGTTTCACAATTTCAAGGAAAACTTCATGATGATGGAGCACGCCGTGCTGTGCATGGCCTTTTCCAGGGACAGCGAGATGCTGGTGACCGGCTCCCAAGCCGGTCGCGTCAAAGTGTGGCGTATAAGCTCGGGGCAGTGCCTGAGGAAGATCGAGAAGGCGCACTCCAAGGGCATAACCTGCCTGCAGTTCTCCAGGGACAACAGTCAGGTCCTGAGCGCCTCCTTTGACTACTCGATACGGTAGGCGACGTTTACCCCTCGATAATCCCTTACTCACTTCTGTCGTTGCTAGGATACACGGGCTGAAGTCTGGCAAGACCCTCAAGGAGTTCAGGGGGCACACTTCCTTCGTGAACGAGGTGATATTCACGCAGGACGGGCATAACATATTGAGGTAATTCCCCGGTTTTGAACGAACCAAAGTTAAAAGTTGTCTTTGCAGCGCGTCGTCGGACAGCAGCGTAAAAGTTTGGAGCATAAAAACGACGGAGTGCGTCAACACGTTCAAGTCCCTCGGGGCGGGGGACACCTCAGTGAACAACATCCACAATTTCGCCAAAAACCCCGAGCACTTCGTCGTGTGCAATCGAAGCAACACCGTCGTCATTATAAACTTACAGGGACAGGTGCGATGAGCAGCGACGTAGCACTGGACTTGGAATTAATTGTGTTATTTTCAGATCGTGAGGTCGTTCGCTAGCGGGAAGCGAGAAGGGGGCGATTTCGTGTGTTCTACGGTGTCTCCGAGGGGCGACTGGATATATTGCGTAGGGGAAGACATGGTTCTGTACTGCTTTTCCACGAATTCGGGGAAATTGGAACGAACCTTGAATGTACTTGCGGTATAACACCCGTAGTGTCCTTTAATCGTCAGTTTTCACGTTTCAGATTCACGAGAAGGACGTAATTGGAATAGCGCATCATCCACATCAAAATTTGATATGTTCGTACAGCGAGGACGGTTTAGTCAGGCTTTGGAAGCCTTAAAAACAATTTTTTTTATGATTTCACGATTTAAATGAAGTAATTTTATTGTGGTTCAATCCTTGATAGAAATAAATAACAGAGTACCTTTAAGGGTTTGGTTTATATGAAATAAAAATACAAATTCGAAGAAATTTACTGTTTCAGGAAAATACAGCACTTTATAACCATCGCACTTAGGCAACATATTATTTTGAACTGTGTATAACTGGTTGCATAAACTGTGAATATACAATATTTACAATTTCGTTTTTACCGACAACTGTCAATGTCGCTTGAGTTCACAAACCGTAGATGTCGCCAGTGCGGCTCGTGACGTTCTTTTATTGATTGCAATTTCTGTAGTCGGCGAACGCCATTTTGACTTAAGTGTAAAAAGATTGTATAGTGAGAAGAGTATTGAAAATCTGTGTGCATCCGTCCTAGTTGGAATTCGAACGAGTTAATTTCTTGTTATTTATTGTTAACCCATCTGGACGGACCAAGGTGCGTACGTATTTCCCTGTTACAACTATAATAAATTGTATTTCGCAATTCAATGTTTTCGTTTGTCTGCCGACCGAACGAATTTGTGAACCGTTATGTCGGATACTTTTTTGTGTTTGCCAAGTGGTTGTGAGTGATGTTAGGCTGGTCGGTGAAGTTTTAAGACGGTCGCGATTCGAGAAGCCGAAAGCTTTGTTTGAAGATTTCCCAGATCTCTGGCTGGCCTTTAATTTAAGTGATGCTTACGTAGTTTACTTTTGCAATTATATTTCGTGAAACGTTACTGTTCGCTTAGTTTGGAGGACTCTCTATTGTTCACATCTCGTTTAGTCTAAGGTCATTTTCCGCTTTTTTTTTCGAATTTACCGTTTAGTTCTCTTGACTTAATTATCTATGCTTTCAAACAATGAAAAAAATACATCTTCCCGTATAGTTTGTATTACAACGTACTAATCTTGAATAAATAATTCCAGGAAATTATATTTTAGTGCTTTGTTGTGAGTTATTGGTGGTTTGTGTTTACATAACATGATTTCTGTGTTTTTTTAGGAAAAGGGTTCGTTCATTGGGTCCTGTGGATCTAAATGGTTGCATGCAGACAGCATGTCTACTTTGTCAGGGCAAGCCTCCAAGGGGGAGAAGACGAAACCGAAATTTCAGTCATTGGATATAAATAGTTTGTACAGAGTCAGCAGGGTAAGTGTTTATAATAATGTTTCTATTCATAGCTTTGTTTGTTTTTCTTTACAAATTGTTAACTCCAGAAAGCCCCTTCCTTGCATTAAAATTTTAGCATTTAAGAGTGATAGTAATGTCAGGGTTGTTAGCAGTTTCAATGACAGCTGTCAAAAAAGTGACAAATTGCTTTCATTTGTATCTTTCATTCATGATGTCAAATTCGAGTATATATTTTTTCGGGGAACTTAAATTTGTTATTTTCTAGAATAACCTGATAAAATTCTTGTGAAACAAATATATTTGCTGACTAATAATAATAATGATCTTATCAAAGATCTTGATTTCAAATAATAGGAGACGGTAATTGTTGCTTTGTTTATTATTTTTTTTATACGTTTCATTGCAGGAACGGTATCCCACCTTGTGAAAGTTTTAATTAGTAATCTCTAATATCCTTTTCCTTTGTGTGTGATAAACATTGTAAGAACCTCGAGAAATATATCAAGACTGCTTATTTATGTGTTCAATTAATATTTTTGTGTATTCGCTGTTACAGTACAATAACTCGGGGATTTGTTAAATTCATGTTTTCGTAAAATCACAAAGAAACCAAAAATTATTGACCGTAAAATTGTTTAGCAAAAAGTTGTACTAAATTCAATTTCATGAGATATTTTCTATTATAATCGATGAATTAGCACTTTTTGACCAAATCTGAGGTAATAAACAGTGAATAAAAAATGTATTATTAATATTAGCTTAAACATCCATTCAATACGCAGCTTTGTTGAATTTTTGAATCGTTAATTTAAGCTTTTTTGTGTGACCATTTTGTAACGTGTTATATTTTTACGTTTTGTATTTTTTTTTCGATATTACAACTTTTGAAGGAAGTTCTAACAAAAAAAATAGGATTACATTACACGTACATGCTGATTACTTAGATCGGATCAGGATTTTTATCCGAAACCAGGAAAATTGTTAACAATCTTTATTTTATCAGTTTAGATAAATTTGAAATGAACTGTTTACATAGACGACAAAAATAAATTCAGTCTCGTGTGATTCACACAATTATACATTTGAGTAAAAAGCGTTTAATTCTGGTACTACGTTTCAAAGACAATGCGGTAAACGATAAACATCAAATCATCCGTTAATTACCGTTATAACCATCTGCAGGTATCAAGTTATTATCTCGACTATTTGTGGCTTCCTACTTCCGTTGGAAACATTGTTTGTAGCTTGCGCGTGCCAAATTAAGACGAGCTGACGTGCAATTTTGCTGTACAGCTCATTATGGATTCCATTCGAATTCTGAGCGGAATGTTAATAAGCATATTAATTTTGCACGAGTCACATTATCAGATCTTGATATTGTTTTCCTCTCAACTCTTCTAATTTAAATATAACCTTCGCACGTTTCTTGTACAGTGTCCGCGGTATAATATGTTGAAGATTTTTTACCTGCTCCTTGTACGTACTTCGGTCTCTTCCAGGGTGAAAATCTAGAGAAGCAGCAGCAGAAGAGTTCGTCGATCTACATTAAACATGGTATGCAATCACTGGGAAAGGTACCGAACGCACGCCGGGCACCAGCCAACCTACCGTCTCTGAAGGCAGAACACAGCGGAACAGACGCAGCCGTACCCCTAGTACCCCCGGGCGCGCCAGGATGGGGCAAGCAAGACCCCTCGACGACCGCCGTCCCGCAACAGCAACAGCCCGTCGCGCCGACCTCCCAGATGCCAAACGCCCCCAACCCCTCGGCCATCCCCCAGAACGCCACCCAGCAGCCCGCGCCGCAGATCAGCCCGCACCAGGCCGCGATCGCCCTGCCAGTTACGACCACCATTCCGCCACACGGCAAACAGGTAGGTCCGGGTTGATAGGGATTTGTTTTTTTTTTCCTATTTTTTACTTTTTTTATTCGTTTTTTTTTTATAAGTCAAGACTATGGAAAAAATATATGGAGTGTTCATTATAAATGTTATTTTTTTAAAATTTCTTGGAAAATTTTTGTTTGAATGATTTTTGTGGATAAAAAACTTAAAATTACGAAAACAATAGCGAATCTAAAGCTTTTCTGGAAGTATTTAATTTTCAATATTAATTTTTTAATTTTTTTTAATAATAGTCGTTCGTCATTTTTGTTGAATCATTTATTGTTTTTTTAATGCTTTTGTTTTTATTTTTTCTTTATTTTTTTTTCTTTGAATGATTATTTTGTTAATCCTGGGGGGGGCGCGCGACTCTTCGGTATCTTCCGCATCTCTTAAGGGCTAACCCCTTTCTCTTGGCCCCGCAGTTGACGCCTTCTGTTCAGCCTGCGCCCACAGACAAGCTGTGGAGTTCGGTAATGAGCTGCCAAGACGCCCCCCACCCGCCCCTCTATCAGAGTCCCCAATTCCAGCACGAGTTCCCCAGCCTGTCATCTGGCGATGGCGGCCCCACACGCACTGGTTCCGATGCTCCGTACCCTTCCGGGCTAAGCCTCAGGCCGCAGACGGAGGGCTCCTGGACGCAGGGCGGGCAGAGGCCCGGAACGGAAGCCGCCGGCCCCCCGAGATCGAGCTCGGTCCCCCCGGGTGCCCCTCCGCAGCTCTCGGCCCAGGCCGGCCTGCCGCCGCCGCAACAGCAGCAGCAGTTCCCGCCCCAGATCCGCGGGGTCATGCCTTCGTTTGTGAGTAGATCGAGTGTCCGGCGGAAATAAAAAAAAAAACTTTTATTCTCCTTGCTTTTCAGATGTACAAAGGTAGCAACTTCCAGCAGGGAAGCGGAATCGGTATTCAGAATCAGAACACACCGTCTCCGGTCAACGGACGAGGCGGGGCGGCACGCCCCGCGGATAACCGTCCGCCGAGACTGGCAGACAGAGACAGGGAAGTCGAGGATATCGTCCCCAGGCCCATTATAAAAGACGAGGAGCTGACCCGCATGGCGGAGATCGGCAAGGACATGGGATGGGCGGATTCGGACGAAATCGACTACAAGTAAGCCTCGCGTCTTACGAAAAATTTCAACGAATGTTATATTTTCGTTTCTTTGCAGCCAGAAACTAGCGTTCAGCGACGACGAGTCAGACAGACCGTTAGCGAGGAGGGACGCGAAGAAAAACCAGCAGCAAATGAGGGAGAACCGAGAATCGGACAAGAGCGACGGCCACCCGAACGACATCCAACGCCAGTGGAGCGGCTCCCGCTCCAGCAGGGGCAGGTCCTCCGAGGAGGAGGACATCTGGTCGCAGAGACGCAGCCAGGCGACGAAAGAGATGGAAATCGTCGTGCAACGCGCCAAGCAACGGAAGGAAGAGGAGGAGAAACGTTTCAATCAGGAACGCAGGCAGGGCGCCGCCAAGAAACTGATGGAGCTCGAGGAGAAGATCCAGAAGCGCGATAGGGACAACCAGGAGGGCGTCGGCACCATCAACCCCTCCACCGTGCCGCCCAAACCGATAAATCACGTCGACATACCCCTGCCGGAGTTCCAGAAGGAGAAGGAACGCGACCGAGACAACAGATCGCGCACCCCCAACGAGCTGAGCGACGGGAAGAACCAGCCGGGCGGCAGCTCGTTCAAACACCTGACGCAGATCGAGGGCAAGAACTTCCCGCGGAAGCACCAGAAGCAGTCGGAGCAGCGGGACAGGGAGAGGAACGTGAGGGAGAACGGCGCGAGCTTCTCGAAACAGTTCCAGAACGACCTGCCGCCGCGGTTCCTCAAACACCAGCGCAACAACAGCAACTCGGGCCCGCAGGGCCAGGGGCAGTTCCACCAGTTCGACGGGCGTTGGGCGCCGGGGCAGGTCCCCCCGAAACCGCAGCAGCCCGGCAGGAACGCGAGACAGGACAGTCCCGACACCGAACGGAACGTCGACGACTACCCGAGGCAAAATCCCGAGGACGGTTATCGCGGTCAGCACCACGCGCCGCCAGAAACGGCGCAGAAACCGCAGGACGGGCGGTACGACGACTTACAAGACGTCCGTCACCAGCCGTACGACCAGCAGTACAGCCTCAGAGAACGGGAGGAGGACAAGCGGCAGAAGGACAAAGAGGACGCCCAGCGTCACCCGAACTACGACCAGCAGTACAACCGCAGGGAACGCGACGACGAGAAATGGCACAAGGAGAAGAAACAGGAGAGCGACGACTGGGGAGAGAAACGGGACAAGCCCCGAGACGAGAAACCGCTGGACCGCTACGACCGGCTGGAGCGGGAGCGTCCTCAGAGACCAGACAGCCGGGACTCGCGTTCCACGCGGCATTCACGCGACTCGGAACCCAGGGACTACATGAGTTCCTGGTCCGAGTCGGTCTACGAACCGCCGTACGAGGAGAAGTCGCGGGACCACCCGAGAGACGACAGACGAGCGGTGCCGGGACCCATAACTAAAGATCGCATCGAAGCGGACGACATGAGGAACGAAAAGAGGAACCTCACCCAGTTGAAACGCGGCCAGCCCGTCGTCGTCAAATCGGAGATGAAAAAAGACGAGAAAGAGGAGTCCGACGGAAAGAAAGATTCGCAAGCGTTCGGGACTTGGGCCGACTCGATCCCGCCCGCTTTGGAGGAGTCCGAGCACAAATTCGAGGAAGAAAAAAAACTCGACCCGAAACAGTTCGGGGAACAGACCAAGAAACCCGACAAGCTCGACGATTACAAAGAGAGGAACCGCGGCAGGCAGCACTCGGGCAACAAAGGCTGGGGCCCCAGCTGGCAGAAGCGGCCCCCGAGCCGCGGGCACAAGTCCGGAAGACAGGCGCACGACTACCACGGGACGGACTCTGACGCGTCGATGGACGAGCACCCCGCCGACAAGAACGATCAGAAGGGGGATATGAGGTCGGAGCCGCGCGACCGTAGGAGTCCCAAGCTGTCGAAGGACGAGAAGAACCGCGACAAGCAGGAGAAAGGCTTGGGCGATCAGAGGAAGCAGGACAAGCCGGAGAAAAAGGAGAATTACGTGCCCCGCGGCGAGCCCTCGAGACACGGGCGGGGCGGCGGGAATTTCCGCAGCGGTCGTATGGGCGGATTGGGGAAGAGGATCGACGGGTACGGTCCGCCGCCTTCCAAGAGTCCCTTCGGCCATCACGACGACAAGGAGAAGAAGGTCGCGGAAGAGAGCGCCGTGGAGAGTCCTCTGCCGGTGGAGGATAAGACCAAGCTGAATCAGCAGGCTTTGACGGCAGGTTAGTGCAATAATATGGTAATTAATTATGTGCCGGGGAAACTTTCGAGAAATTTTTGGCGGGCTGCTAATGCATTTCGTCTTGCTTCACCGTAAATTAAAACAATTCTATTCAGTCACAGAAGCCAATTTGACCACTCGTACTGTAGGTTATTTTTTAATGATATAAATTTATTTTTTTTTTGAATTTTTTTATGCTACAGATTTTTCAGTTGAAAAAATTAAAAATTAGAAAAAAGAAAAATTGTAGTAATACTAACGTATTGAAATATTTATTTAAATAAAGTTAGAAGCATTTTTTTACAGATTTTTTTTATTAGTATGCACCGGACTTAATTGTTCAAAAATTAAAAATTTCAAAATTAAGTAACAAAAATTACGGTAACGGATAAATCATTAAAAACTACAAAATTATAAAAATACATCCTTAAATTAATATAAATTTCACAAATGTTAGAAAATGAAAATAATTTTTCCATATTTTCAAATTAAAAAAATTCTAAATCATCAAAAAAGCAGCAATACGAATATGCAAAAAAATTTTGAATTTGTACAAAATATTTCAAAATCGAAGAAATTTAAAAAAAAAAAATTAATAAAATGGTTGCGAACATTTTGTTTGCACTTTCTTTATATATTAATCTTGAATATGGAAAAAAAAAATCTGTATTTTCAACTTAAAAAAATTCAAAATCGTCAAAAATGCAGCAATACGAATATGCAAAAAAAATGTTGATTTTCTTGGACAAAATATTTCAAAAAAAAAACTAAAACAATGGTTGCGAACATTTTTTTGCACTTTTTTTATTTATTAATTTTGAATATGAAAAAAAAATTTCCGTATTTTCAAATTAAAAAAATTTAAAATCATCAAAAAAGCAGTAATACGAATATGCAAAAGTGTTGCTTTTCTTGTACAAAATATTTCAAAATCGAAATTTCAAAATAAATAAATAAAAAAAAATTATTGCCAACATTTTCTTGCACTTTTTTTATATATTAATCTTGAATATGCAAATATAAAAAATTTCCGTATTCAAATTAAAAAAATTCAAAATCATCAAAAGAGCAGCATTATGAATATGCAAAAAAATTTTGGATTTCTTGTACAAAATATTTCAAAAATAAAAAATGGTTGTGAACATTTTTTTACACTTTTTTATATATTATCTTGAATATGAGAAACATTTTTCCGTATTTTCAAATTAAAGTATTCAAAATCTCAATAAAAAAGCAGCAATACGAATATGCAAAATCATATTCAAAAAAAATTTTTTTCTTGTACAAAATATTTCAAAAACTAAAAAATTTCATAAAAAATAATAAAATATGAAAATACATCCTTAAAAAGATATAAATTTCAAAAAAATCTTAGAAAATGAAAACATTTTTTCCAAATTTTCAAAGTAAAAAATTAAAAATCTCAGCAAGAAAGCATCAATACAAATCTGTACGCAAAATCATATTCAAAAAAATTTTGGTTTTGTACAAAATATTTCAAAAACAAAAAATTCATTAAAAAAAATAGAAAAATTGTAATGCAAAAAATAAATAATTTATTTAAATAACAAAATTCTTACGAACATTTTTTTACACTTTTTTATTATTAGTATTCACGACAATTGGTCAAAAATTAAGAATTTCAAAATAAAGTAAAAAAAATTGAAGGAGTATATAAATCATTAAAAATTTATTAAAAAATAATAAAATATGAAAATACATCCTTAAAAAATTATAAATTTCAAAAATGTCAGAAAAAGTAAAAAATTTTCCGAATTTTCAAATTAAAAAATTCAAAATCAACAAAAAAACAGCAGTACGAATATGCAAAAAAAAAATGGATTTCTTGTACAAAATATTTCAAAATCAAAGAAATTTCAACAAAAAATAAAAAAAATGGGTGAACATTTTTTTGCACTTTTTTTTATATATTATCTTGAATATGAAAATAATTTTTCCAGATTTTTTCTTGTACAAAATTCAAAAATAAAAAATTTCATAAAAAAAATAGAAAAATTGTACTTTTTTATTAGTATTCACTGGACTTTTAATTGTTCAAAAATTAAGAAATAAAGTAACAAAAATTGCAGCAATTATAAATCATTAAAAAAGTAGTGATATGAAAATACATTCTTAAAAAAATATTCAAAATCTTAGAAAATGAAAAAATTTTTTCCGAATTTTCAAATTAAAAAATTCTAAATCAACAAAAAAGCATCGATACAAATATATATATATATATATATATAATCAAATTCCCTTTTACCCTTAGGTGTCGGGAGCATCGATACAAATACACAAAAATAAATAGTCTTCGCTTTGTTGCCGTTGACCCGCACCATCTCCCTTTACGTGCACTGTAGGTTGCCTACAAATTCATGTATTTTTAATACACGATTACAGTGACGGTGTACGCTACAGTTAAAATGCATTTTAAAAAACTAATTATAATTAAGAAAAAAGAAGAATTTCAGAATAATTTTCGTAAACAAGGGAAAATCTTAAAATTTATAATTTTTTTTTCAAAATTTCTAAATTTTCCGTAACTTTGTCGTGAATCACTTCAAATAAATACCCATTAAACAATTATGCAGTGTTTCAAAGTTGGTTTGCGATGTTTTATCAGCAAGTCATGGCTCATTAAATGGCAATCAATTGACTGCTGGCACAAAAAAAGTTCTATTTAACATTTTCCAGTTGACCTTCATTTGATCTTGAAACTTACGGTAAAATCCAAGGTCTCCAGTAATTTTTGATATACAATATAACTTTTATCTGAAGTTTTTTTTGATGATACTTGATTGGCATTCAGGTCTCTTTGGGACACCCTGTATATGTTCGTTTACATTCAGACATTTTCGTTTTATTTACCCCGTCTCGCAACTCGCAGGTATCATGGGAAAGTCTCGGGTGGACCCCGCGCAAAGTTCCGACGAAAAGAACAAAGCGAGGGGCAAACCCGACCCACGGAAGAACAAACCCAGAGGAAAAGACGAACTCTGCGACACGAACTCGGAGAACTCCGACGAGAAAGACAAGAAGGACGGTCGCAAACTCCAGGATAGGAAAACGCAGGCCCCCCGTCCCCAGAACCCCCCGAGCCGGGGCCGCAACAACCCGCCCCGCCTGGGCGGCGAGAAGAGAAGCTACGACGTCCCGAGGGGGGAGACCGCCTCCCGTCAGAACTCCAACAACTCCCTGAAGAAAGACGACAAGCCCAGCAACGACCACAACGTCCTGGCGAACGCCATCGCCGACATACCGCTGAAGAACCACGACGACGCCGATCCCGTTGACGAGAAAGAGGACAAGGTGTCCCTGAACGGCGACTCGGAGGGCTTCCAGGAGGTGAAGAGCAAGAAGACGGGGAAGGAACGTCAGAAATCCGTCGACGACAAGCAACAGTGCAAGAACCCGTCGAAGAACGAGCCGGGCAAAGACCTCCCGAAGACGGAGAGGGACAGAGACCGCAAACCGAAGACCTCGGCCGTCCAGCTCACCCAGCAGCAGATCCAGAACATCCCGTCGTTGATGGCGACGCCCGTCAACCCGCCCCCGGTCCTGCCGCAGCCCAAGGGCCAGTTCGACAGGCCGAGGCAGTCGAAGCTGGCGCCTCGTTTCGCCAAGCAGAAGCTGCAGAAGGCGCAGATGCAGCAGCAGGTGCACGGACTGTGCGACGTCAACGATTTGAACAAGGTGAACCAGAGCCTGAACGTGTACGGGATGAAGGAAGTGGTGAGCGTGTCGGCTCCGGTGTCCTCGTGCGCTTGGGATAAGCCGTTGGGGTCCCAGCTGAGGGGTATGGAGCACGACGGGATGCTGGGGGTGGCGATCGACAGCGTAAAGGGTCTGGATCAGACGCAGCAGGCGTCGCAGGGGGCGAGTCCGAATACTGAGAAGGTGAGTTTTTTTTTTAATTTTTGAATATGTTCATATTTATTTTTTTTTTGACAGATTTTTTTGTGCTCCAGATCTTTCAGTTGAAAAATTTCAAAATTAAATGAAAATAAAAAGCATTGTTTTAGACTTTTTTTTCAGTATTCACTGGACTTTTAATTGTTCAAAAATTTAAAACTTCAAAATAAAGTAACAAAAGTTGCAGAAACAGATGAAAAACTATTAAAATATAAGAATGCATCCTTAAAATACTATAAATTTCAAAAAAATCTTGAATATGAAAATATTTTTTCTGGATTTTCAAATTAAAAAATTCAAAATAAAAAAAATTGAAAAATTGTTACAAACATTTTTTTACAGACTTTTATTATTTTTTAGTATTCACCGGACTTAATTGTTCAAAAATTAAAAATTTCAAAATAAAGTAACAAAAATTGCGGAAACAAACTACTAAAATATAAAAATAACCCATAAAATTTTGAATATCAAAATAATTTTTCCAGATTTTCAAATTGAAAAATTCAAAATCTAAAAAAATTCAAAATTAAAAAAATATTGAAAAATTGTAGTAATACATTTTTTTACACTTTTTAATTAGTATTCATCGTTCAAAAATTAAGAATTTTAAAATAAAAATTGCAATATATAAATCATTAAAAAGTACTAAAATATAAAAATACATCCTTAAAAAAATATAAATCAAAAAAAAGTTGAATATGAAAAAAATTGTTTCCGTATTTTCGAATTAGAAAATTGAAAATCAACAAAAAAAGCAACAATACGAATATTCAAACAACTTTTGGTTTTCTTATACAAAATATTTAAAAATCTAAAAAATTTCAAAATTAAAAAATAGAAAAATTGTAGTAATACAAAATATTGAAAAATTTATTTAAATAAAAAAATTGTTATGAACATTTTTTTACACTTTTTTTATTAGTATTCTCTGGACTTTTTTTAATTGTTCAACAATTAAAAATTTCAAAATAAAGGAACAGAAATTGCGGTAACAGATAAATCGTTAAAAACTCCTAAAATATAAAAATACATCCCTAAAATAATATAAATTTCAAAAAAATCTCGTATAAAAATAATTTTTTCAGATTTTCAAATTCAAAAATTCAAAATCTCAAAGAAAGCAGCAATACGAATACGCAAAAAAATGTTGATTTTCTTGTACAAAATATTTCAAAATCTAAACAATTTAAAAAAAGAAAAATTAAGAATTTGAAAAATACTAAAATATTAAAATACATCCTTAAAAATATATAAACAAATCTTTGAAAATGTATTTTTTTTCCAATTTTCAAATTAAAAAATTCAAAATCAACAAAAAAGCATCAATACAAATACACAAAATCATATTAAAAAAAAAATACAAAAATTGTAATACCTAATACAAAATATTGGAAAATTTAAATAAAAAACATTTACTTTTTTTTATTAGTATTCACTGGACTTTTAATTATTCAAAAATTAAGAATTTTTAAAATTATGTTACAAAAATTGCAGCAATATATAAATCATAAAAAAATGGCTATATTAAAAAAAGTCAGAAAATGAAAAAATTGTTTCCAAATTTTCAAATTAAAAAATTAAAAATCACAACAGCAACTAAACAGCAATACGAATATGTAAATTCATATTCAAAAAAATTTTGGTTTTGTACAATATATTTAAAATCTAAAAAATTTCCAAAATAAAAAAAATTGTTATGAGCATATTTTTTACAGGCTTTTTTTATTAGTATTCAGCTTTTAATTGTTCAAAAATTAAGAATTAAAATATAAAAATACATCCTTAAAAAAATATAAATTTCTGAAAAATTTTAGAAAATGAAAAAAAATTTCCGAATTTTCAAATTAAAAAATTCATAATCAACAAAAAAGCAACAATATGAATACGCAAAATCATATTCAAAAAAATTTTGGTTTTGTAAAAAATTTTCAAAATCTAAAAAATTTCATAAAAAAAATAAATAGAAAAATTAGTGCAAAATATTGAAAAATTTATTTAAATAAAAAAATTGTTATGAACATTTTTTACTTTTTTTTTTAGTATTCACTGGACTTAATTGTTCAAAAATTAAGAACTTCAAAATAAAGTAACAAAAATTGCAGCAATATATAAATCATTAAAAAGGTTATTAAAAAATACTATAAAATAAAAATACATCATTAAAAAAATAGAAATTTCTGAAAAATCTTAGAAATTGAAAAAAAAATTTTCCGAATTTTGAAATAAAAAAATTCAAATTCAACAAAAAAGCAGCAATACCATATTAAAAAAAAATGTTGGTTTTGTAAAAAATATTTCAAAATATAAAAAATTTCATTAAAAAACAACTAGTGATGCAAAATATTGAAAAATTTATTTCAATAAAAAAATTATTACGAATATTTTCTACACTTTTTTTATTAGTATTCACTGGACTTTTAATTGTACCTACTTAAATTTCAAAAAAATCTTAGAAAAATTAAAAAAATATTTCCGAATTTTCAAATTAAAAAATTCAAAATCTCGTCAAAAAAGCAGCAATAGGAATATTCAAAATCATATTCAAAAAAATTTTAGTTCTCTTGTACAAAATATTGAAAAATTTATTTAAATAAAAAAAATTGATACGAGCATTTTTTTTATACTTTTTTTTATTAGTATTCACTGGACTTTTAATTGTTCAAAAATTAAGAATTTCAAAATAAAGTAACAAAAACTGCAGCAATATATATCATTAGAGCTTATTAAAAAATACTAAAAAAATACAAAAATACTTCCTTAAAAAATATATAAATTTCAAAACAATCTTGTATTTCTTTTCATTAAAATCCTAATTTTTGTAATTCTTAATTCTTAGAAAAATTAAGAATTTTTTTAAATTTTCTGCATTTTTAAATTAGAAAATTGAAAATCACACTAAAAAAACAGCAATACGAATATCATATTCAAAACATTGTTAAAAATTTTGGTTTTCTTGTACAAAATATTTCAAAAACTTAAAAATGTATTTAAAATCTGTTTATGCCATTCTAAAGCACGAAGTGCTCAATTTTTTCTTGAAATTTATTCCTCTCTTTTTCATTAAAAAATTTGTTTAAAATGAGGGTCCATTTTTCAGGATGGGAACTCGAATCGGTGATTAGGTCAAAAATTTTTATCTGGGAATTTGAAATCCTATACATTTTTAAAATTCTGTAATTTTTGTCGTTTGTTACTTTTACATGAATTTTGAAACAAGAAAAAAAATTATGGAAATTCGAAACTCTGAAAAACATTATTATCGGTACTTAGATGATGGGAAAGCCCGGCCAGCTCCAGGACAAGACCCTCCTGGACGGCAGCACGCCCCCCGTCAACACCATAATCTTCGAGAACACCAACTTCAAGTCGGCGCCGGGCGCCCGCAACGCCCGCACCGACAAGCCCCGCCCCAAACTGGAGGACGGCGCCATCGACCCCTCCGTCATGGCGGGCTTCAAACCCACCATGAACGAACTGCTACAGAGCAAGAACGACAGCAAATCGGAACCGATACAACTGCCCCTGTTCAAGGAGGACTCGGCGGACATGAAGCTGGACTTCTTCGGTTCCGACCTCCAGTTCACCGACGACAAGGGGGCCAAGACCCTCATGTCCAAGTCCATCCACGCCATAACCAGCGGCAACAACACGGTTGACAGCCTCGACATCAAGATAGCGTCGGTGAAGAAAGTATGGGAGACGTCGGAGCAGGAGGGCGAGGAGACCCAGATCAGCTTCGGGGGGCCGCCGTTGGACCCCAACGTCTTCAGTCAGGGGAAGGACACTCCCGACGACAACCACGAAGGTTACAGTCCCTCCCCGAACCAGACGGCCTCCACCACGACAAATGTATGTAAGGTAAGGCTCGATTATTTATATTTTGTTGCGATTGTCTCGAGTCTCGTAAAATTACGACTTTCGGTGGACGACGGTTGATCCTCGACGTTTCTTTCTAGGTTAAACCCACCCAGCAGGTGTCCGGAAGCGGGCAGACCGCGCTCAGCGGCGCGGGTCACCAGCAGCATTCCGGGATTGTCGCGCCTGGTCTGATGGGCAATCCGCTGTCGCCACCGCCGCCCATACCGCAAGTTTTGGGGGCGAGCGTCGGCATCGGGCCGCAGCAGTACACCGCGAACCAGCACATTGGCTATCAGGTGAGTGTCGTCTTGTCGGAATGTTACTTTCTGCGCGCAACTCTTTTTTTATCCTCTTTGTCGATAAGTTTCATCAGAAGTGGGATAACGAATTCTTGTACCTTTTTCTTCAGCTTTCTTCCAGAAATTTGGAATTTGAATGCAGATTTCTCCTTCCTAAACTATTCGGCTTAATCAGAAGTGGGATTCCCTTTTTCCTTCAACTTTATCGGACAAATTTGAGGCTTTAAGTGGAAATTCCTTGTATTTAAAATATTAAATCAGGTTTTGCAGTTTAAAAATATTCTTTTCTAAGATTTGTGTCCTTTCCTTTATTTCCTACTAATTTCTTCCACAAGTTATTAATTTACTCAAACTCGATAAAAAGATACATAGATAATATTTTTGATGGAATCAGAAGCGGGATTCGAAACCCAAACGTCTCCTTCCTCGATTTTCCTCTCCAAACTATTCGTCCTTCCTAAACTACTCAGCTTAATCAGAAGTGGGATTCACTTTTTCCTTCAACTTTATCGAAGTGAAAATTCCTTCTATTGAAAATATTAAATCAAGTTTTGCAGTTTAAAAATATTGTTTTCTAAGATTTCTACAGCATTTTTCTCAATTTTAATGTATTTGGAAAAGTATTTTTTTAATTTAAAGCATAACGTAATTTCAGTAACCAAGTGCTGTTAGTTTGATCAGAAGTGGGATATCGAGTTTGAATTTCCTTGTCCCGGTTTCATTTCCCGAGTTAGTTGAATAAAATTGACACTTCAACTTCAAAGTGTTACAAATACTTTATTTTCTGTGTGCAATTTTTTTTTTATCCCGTCTAAACTCCTCTCGCTTCATTGAAAGTTGTAATTTTGTGTCCTTTTCCTGTATTTCCTACTAATTTCTTCTACAAGTAGTTAATTTACTCAAATTTGACAAATAGATACATACATAATGTTGTTGATGGAATCAGAAGCGGGATTCGAAAACCCAAACGTCTCCTTTCTCGATTTCGCTCCCCAAACTATTCGTCTTACGAGAAACATTAAACAGAGGTTATATCTTCCCTAGGCCGGGCTCTCGGGCAGCACCCAGTACGGCATGTCGGCCATCCCGTCGCCCCCGACCGTGCCCCTCGTCTACAACTCCACCCAGCAGCTCCAGGCCGCCGCCGCCCAATCGGCGGGTCTGTACGGCGCCTTCCAGATCGACCAGACGGGCGTGCTGGGCGGCCAGGGTCGTTCGCAGTACTCCCAGTACCCCAACTACCACGGCCTCGGACAGACGGCCAGCAGCCCCTACTCGACGCAGTCCGTCTACCTGCAGACGGCGCCGCCCCACCCGCCGCCGACGGCGCAAGCGCCGCCGGAGCTCTATCCCAATCTGAACAACTACAGGCTGTCGGCGACGGCGCCGTTCGGCCAGAGCCAGCAGCTCAACAACCCCACGACGGTGCTGATCAGCTCGACGAGCAACAGTTTGATGTCGGCCTCCGTCAAGCCCAGCAGCCAGCCCATCAGCGCCATCGGTAAGTGGAACGGTTTAGTTTTGTGTTCTTTTTCATGTTAAAATTTTAATAAAAATACAAACAACGAGACTTCGAGAATTGCACATTTTGCAAAAGTGCAAAAAAAGTCGAAAATGATGCAAAAGTTGCATATTTATAAAGTAAAAAAAGTGAAAATTGTTGCAAAAATGCCCATTTTGGAAATATGCAAAAAAGTCGAATATGTTTCAAAAATTGCACATTTTGCAATAGTGCAAAAAATTCTAAAATTACGCATTTTACAAAAGCGCAAAATAGTTGAAAATGCTTTGAAAATTGCACATTTTGCAGCAAAGTCGAAAATACAACAATAATTGCACATTTCGCAAAAGTACAAAAAAGTCGGAAATGCTTAAAAATTTGAATATTTTGCAAAGGCGTAAAAAAGGGGAAATTGTTCCAAAAATGCTCATTTTGGAAACGTGCAAAAAAAGCAAAAAAGCCTCAAAAAATGGAAAATTTGCAAAAAGGCAAAAAAATTTAAAAAAACTCAAAAAATAAAAAATATAAAAAAACCCAAAAAAAAGTGAAAAAAACTTGAAAAATGCAAAATTTGCAAAGAAAAAAAAAGCCAAAAAGCCTAAAAAATTGAACAATTTGCAAAAGCCGAAAAAAAGGGAAAAGGCAAAATTTGCAAAAAGGGAAAAAAGCCAAAAAGCCTAAAAAATTGAACAATTTGCAAAACGAAAAAAAGGGAAAATGGTGAAAAAAAGCCCAATTTGGAAAACAGCAAAAAAAAATCGAAAATGCTTCAAGATTTGTACATTTTGCAAAAGTGCAAAAAATTTTAAAATTCTTCAAAAATTACACATTTTACAAAAGCGCAAAAAAATTGAAAATGCTTTAAGAATTGCACATTTTGCAACAAAGTCGAAAATACAACAATAATTGCACATTTTGCAAAAGTGCAAAAAAGTCGGAAATGCTTAAAAATTTGAATATTTTGCAAAGGCGTAAAATAGGGGAAATTGTTGCAAAAATGCTCATTTTGGAAACGTGTAAAAAAAGTCAGAAATGCTTCAAGAATTGTACATTTTGCAAAAGTGCAAAAAATTTTAAAATACTTAAAAAATTACACATTTTACAAAAGCGCAAAAAAAGTTGAAAATACTTTGAGAATTGCACATTTTGCAAGTATAAATAAGTCGAAAATGCTTTAAAATTTGACTATTTTGCAAAGGCGTAAAAAAGGGGAAATTGCACATTTTGCAAAAGTGTAAAAAGTCGAAAATGCTTTAAAATTTGACTATTTTGCAGACGTAAAAAAGGGGAAATTGTTGCAAAAATGTTCATTTTGGAAACATGCAAAAAAAATCGAAAATGCTTCAAGAATTGTACATTTTGCAAAAGTGCAAAAAATTTTAAAATACTTCAAAAATTACACATTTTACAAAAGCGCAAAAAAATTGAAAATGCTGTGAGAATTGCACTTTTGCAATCGGAAATTCAAACATAATTGCACATTTTGCAAAAGTGCAAAAAAGTAGAAAATGCTGCAAAAGTTGCATATTTTGCCAGTGTAAAAAAGTTAAAGTTGTTGCCAAAATGTCAATTTTGGAAACGTGCAAAAAAGTAGAAAATGTTTCAAGAGTTGCACATTTTCCAAAAGTGCAAAAAAATTCTAAAATACTTCAAAAAGTCGAAAATGCTGTGAGAATTGCACATTTTGCCACAATGCCTGTTTCCTGGGAAAATATTCGATTTACTATTAAACTTTTAGATAATTTTTTTTAGTGTAGTCCGTGAGTTTAAAATTTGCACCTATTTCATAAAATATCTAGTTTCATTTATAGTTTAATTTCTTAATATTATTTGCACGTTTGATCTAAAGAATTACCTTTAAAAATCCAGAATTTTTCAACAAAAATTCAATCGAAAACCCAATACCGGTGAACCGTTACATAAATAAAAAAATTTACCATAACTAAAAGTAGCTTTGATGTTTTTGATGATTTTGCCTTCCTGACGTACGTTTCTCGGCAGGTACTGACTTGTTTCTGTTGTCGTTAGGCACGAAGGCGGGCGGCGTCGGCCAGGCCTACCAGCAGCAGTCCCAGCAGGGCCAGCAGGTGTACATGGCGTACGACCCCTCCATCCAGGCCGCCAACTACCTGCCGCCCAGCGCCGGCGTGATGCAGCGAGGTCCCGCCGGCCCAGTCCAGAACAACGTCGTGCCCGGCCTCCAGCCCTCCTCCTCCTACTATTCCGGATCGACAGGTACCAAAGCTTTTCCTACACCCTGGAGGTATTAGGCTAACGCGCTTTTGGGGGTTAAAAGTCGCTTTGCACACACACGCACACACTCGCATACATGACAACTGTAGTCGCCTCTCGTAGTTACTGCTCGCCTCTCATGGGACGGTAGATTTTTTACCGACGGGGTCTCGTGTGGTGACGATGTAGTGTTTAGACGTAAGGTGTTTTTTTTTTCTCTTCTGTTTGTGAGGAGAAGTTGGCGTTATGTCGGGTGTGGTCTTGCTTGTTTTTTTCTTTGAATTTTATCGTTTTCGGAATTTGAATTGTAAATAAATCTTGGTGTTCGCCTCTTTCGCTTAAAAAATCTGTCGTTTTTAACCGTGGTGGCAGATATGGAACGGGCCATGCTTGAAGCGTAGTTCCCGAGTAAAAAATGTCACGGGTCTTCGAAAATTGATTGTTTTTTTAAGGCATCATTGTTTGTTTTTAAGATATTTCAAACAATAATGATAAAATTTCAAGAATGCCTAAAACGGACTTATTTCATGTGATATTAATCTTGTTGATGGTGATTTTAAAGAAAAATGTAAATATTTAATGAAACAAACGTTTTTACCCTAGCGTATCGCTAAAACCTTTGTTTCGCAGGAAAATTGGTTTGGATTCTCTGCCTCTGTTGTCGGTTAAATTTTCTACTTTAAACCTTACATTTTTCTTGCGCACCGCAAAAGTTGCACATTTTGCAAAAGCGCAAAGAAGTGAAAGTTGTTGCAAAAGTGCACATTTCGAAACATGCAAAAAAGTCAAAAATGCTTCAAAAATTGCATATTTTGCAAAAAAATTAACGATACTACAAAATTACACAAAAGTGCAAAAAAGTCAAAAGCGCTGCAAAAATGCACAATTTGGAAACATCCAAAAGTCGAAAATGCTTCAAGAATTGCATATTTTGCAAAAAAAAGTCGAAAACGCTGCAAAAGTTGCACATTTTGCAAAAGCACAAAAAAGTGAAGATTGTAAAAATGCATATTTTTGAAATACAAAAAAGTCGAAATTGCTTCAAGAATTACGTATTTTGCAAAAATGTCGAAAATACTACAAAAATTTCACATTTCATAAAAGTGCGAAAAAATCTAAAGCGCTGCAAAAGTTGCATTTTGCAAAAGCACAAAAAAGTCAAGATTGTAAATATGCACATTTTGAAACATACAAAACAGTCGAAATTGCTTCAAGAATTGCATATTTTACAAAAAAGTCGAAAATACTACAAAAATTTCACATTTAACAAAAGTGCAAAAAGGTCAAAGGCGCTGCAAAAGTTGCACATTTTGCAAATGCACAAAAAAGTGAAGATTGTAAAAGTGCATATTTTTGAAATACAAAAAAGTCTAAATTGCTTCAAGAATTACGTATTTTGCAAAAATGTAGAAAATACTACAAAAATTTCACATTTCATAAAAGTGCGAAAAATCAAAAGCTCTGCAAAAGTTGCATTTTGCAAAAGCACAAAAAAGTGAAGATTGTAAATATGCACATTTTGGAAACATACAAAATAGTCGAAATTGCTTCAAGAATTGCATATTTTACAAAAAAGTCGAAAATACTACAAAAATTTCACATTTAACAAAAGTGCAAAAAGGTCAAAGGCGCTGCAAAAGTTGCACATTTTGCAAATGCACAAAAAAGTTAAAATAGTTGCAAAAATTTACATTTTGGAAACATGCAAGAAAAGTTGAAATTGCTTCAAGAATTGCATATTTTACAAAAAAAAGTCGAAAATACTACAAAAATTTCACATTTTAAAATTGTTGCAATAATGTACAATTTGGAAACATGCAAAAAAGTTGAAAATGCTTCAAGAATTGCATATTTTACAAAAAAAGTCGAAAATACTACAAAAATTTCACATTTAACAAAAGTGCGAAAAAATTAAAAGCACTGCAAAAGTTGCACATTTTGCAAATGCATAAAAAAGTTTAAATAGTTGCAAAAATGCACATTTTGGAAACGTGCAAGAAAAGTTGAAAGTTCAAGAATTGCATATTTTACAAAAAGTCGAAAACACTACAAAAATTTCACATTTCACAAAAGTGCAAAAAAGCCGAAAGCGCTGCAAAAGTGCAAAGAAGTGAAAATTGTTGCAAAAATGCACATTTTGGAAACGTGCAAAATTTTTTCTTAAATTTGCCTCTTCATTAAATATTTTGCGCAATTTAGGCCATATTTACCTTGATTAAAATCTTATATGTGTAAACATTGTAGCGCTTTAATACGGATCTGCGAAACAACACTTGAACGCTTATATATCTGTAAAAGTTGACTTTCAGTGCCTTAAAAAACATTAAAAACCTAAAATCAAGGAAATTCATCTTTGAAAACTACCCGTGCAGTATGGTTCGTTCCTTTTCAGTGCCGTTTCATTTAAAATTGTTGGATTATGTAAAAATTTGGGTAAACTAATCGGAGATATTAGTAATCCGTAGAGACGAACACGTTTCTATATATTTTTGCGCATTTCCCAACGAAAACAAACAAGATCACCGTTTATTTCCGACTTTTTTTTTTTGTTGTAGTACATTAACTGTTAGTTTGTCGCTGTGTGTATAATAATTTATTTCATGTATAAAAAGAATCTCTCCCAATACCAGTTTATTTATTTAATGAGTTTATATTAGCCTCTTTATTATTTTTTTGTGCTACCTTAACGGAAATTTATTTCTTAGGTGTAACATGTAACCTATACAGAGTGTGACTTTAAAGGGGGTCGTATTCCGTTACGAAAACTGAATTTTTTATTTTTTTAACCTTTTTTCATGTCACAGAAATTTTACGATGAAGACACACAAACACACTTCACTAAATACCACTCTAAATTTTATAAAACTGTTATTTCGGTCTCCGCCACTCGGTCACGCTCATACAACCGACTTTGGGTGCTGCCCAGTGACGACGTAGACAAGGGCTTGAGCGCAGTTTAAAAAACAAACGATAACGGTTTATTTGAACTAAAAAGATATTTTTGAGTTAAGATTCTGATAAAAACCTGACCCCCACTTGAAGTTACGCTCTGTATACACGACTATACAATGTAGTTAGTGTAGATGAATTTGTTTACTTAATAAAATTCCATTATTTCTAATTTGTGTTATTTTTTTGCATGTTCACGTTCGTCTGTATGCTTAGTTTACAACCTAACCTAACCGGCAGTAGTCAAAAAGTAGAACACAGTTCCCTGTCCTCTTTAAAACAAATTCTAATCAATGTAGTTTTAGAAAAGTAACGCTTTATATTCGTTAAACAACCTCGAATGTGAGTTTTACTCGATCGAGTCGACTTGCGTCGAATCAGAAGCGGGATAATTTTTTTCTCTCGCCGATTAACTAACCTCCGCAAACCTGTAACCTACTAACCTTGTCCGTAGGGGGCCAGACGGGGTACTACCAACAGCCGGGCAGCTCGACGCTGTCCTCGGCCCAGCTGCAGCAGCACCAGGCCGGCTACGGCCTCCAGGGCAACGTCTTCGGGACGCACAGCCAGTCGCATACCAACACGGGCCTCCAGAACTACTCGCCGTTCCTGCCGACCTCGCTGCAGATGGCGGCGGCCATAAACGCGCAGCAGTTCAGGTCCGGCATGCCCGCGCCCTACATGAAGGGCGTCGGCGACCAGTCCGGGAGGCCGCAGCAGCTGAAGAGCCCCAGCAGCCAGGAGGTGCTCTCCTCGGTTTTTAATTCGGGTGAGTGTGTTGGTTTCGGCGCGGGGCCGCTCTCTTTGTTTCGGAGCAGTCTTCTTTTTTTATCCGGTTTTTGGGGTCGAAAATTAGTAACGGGATTTCAAGATCGGCAGTTTCAATCCCGAGAATAGCTGCCGATGCCAAAATTTAACTAAATATTGACTGTTTTTACTCTTTGTCGAAGAAAATACGTTTTTCAGTTACTTATACTGCTTGGGAGGATTATCGGTTCGGTTTTATGTAATAATTACGGGAATCAAATAAGATCGACTTGATTTTGGGGTCGATCCTGTGACTTGAAATCTGGAATGTGGTCCGTGTCTTAAAATTGAACTAAAACTGAATAAACTCATCTAAATGTCGTTATAGTCGATTAAACGTGTCCAGATTTTATTCGCAGTATCTCCCAAGGAAGTAGATGAAAAGTAGGTCAAATGTCTCAAACCCAATTGGCCTAAAAAATTGAACGGAAAGAGCCGCAACTCCTTTTTTTTATATTTCTTACTATAAAATGTGTGATATTTTTCATACACTTAATTTTTTAAAATGGGAGCCCTTATTTTTTTTATATTTTCAAATCTGCATAAAATTTCACTAGACTTCATATTTGCTCTTGAATGTGGTCAAGTATATCAATGTAGGCCAATTTCAACAATTTTTTGCGGTTTTGTCCTAGTTTCTGAATAAATACACAAAAAGTAATTCAAATGTCTTGAGCCCAATTTGCTAGGAAAATTGAACGGACAAGAGCCGCATCTTCATTTTGTCACACTTCTTACGATCAAATGTGTGATATTTTTCATACACTTATTTTAATTTAATTTTTTAAAATGGGAGCCCCCGGCTTTTTTTATATTTTCATATCTGCATAAAATTTCGCTAAACTTTATATTTGCTCTCGTATGATGCCCGGAATCTCAAGGCGGGCCAATTTTANCTGCCGATGCCAAAATTTAACTAAATATTGACTGTTTTTACTCTTTGTCGAAGAAAATACGTTTTTCAGTTACGTATACTGCTTGGGAGGGTTATCGGTTCGGTTTTATGTAATAATTACGGGAATCAAATAAGATCGACTTGATTTTGGGGTCGATCCTGTGACTTGAAATCTGGAATGTGGTCCGTGTCTTAAAATTGAACTAAAACTGAATAAACTCATCTAAATGTCGTTATAGTCGATTAAACGTGTCCAGATTTTATTCGCAGTATCTCCCAAGGAAGTAGATGAAAAGTAGGTCAAATGTCTCAAACCCAATTGGCCTAAAAAATTGAACGGAAAGAGCCGCAACTCCTTTTTTTTATATTTCTTACTATAAAATGTGTGATATTTTTCATACACTTAATTTTTTAAAATGGGAGCCCTTATTTTTTTTATATTTTCAAATCTGCATAAAATTTCACTAGACTTCATATTTGCTCTTGAATGTGGTCAAGTATATCAATGTAGGCCAATTTCAACAATTTTTTGCGGTTTTGTCCTAGTTTCTGAATAAATACACAAAAAGTAATTCAAATGTCTTGAGCCCAATTTGCTAGGAAAATTGAACGGACAAGAGCCGCATCTTCATTTTGTCACACTTCTTACGATCAAATGTGTGATATTTTTCATACACTTATTTTAATTTAATTTTTTAAAATGGGAGCCCCCGGCTTTTTTTATATTTTCAAATCTGCATAAAATTTCGCTAAACTTTATATTTGCTCTCGTATGATGCCCGGAATCTCAAGGCGGGCCAATTTTAACACTTTTTAAGGTTTTGTCGTAGTTTCCAAATAAATACACGCAAAATAGTTCAAATGTCTCGAGCCCAATTTGCTAGGAAAATTGAACGGCAAGAGCCGCATCTCCATTTTTTCACACTCTTACGATCAAATGTGTGATACTTTTCATACACTTACATTTTTTAAAATGGGAGCCACTGGCTTTTTTTATATTTTCAAATCTGCATAAAATTTCGCTAAACTTTATATTTGCTCTCGTATGATGCCCGGAATCTCAAGGCGGGCCAATTTTAACACTTTAAGGTTTTGTCGTAGTTTCCAAATAAATATACGCAAAGTAGTTCAAATGTCTCGAGCCCAATTTGCTAGGAAAATTGAACGGCAAGAGCCGCATCTCCATTTTTTCACACTTCTTACGATCAAATGTGATATTTTTCATTTACATTTTTTAAAATTGGATCCGCTGTTTTTTTTTATATTTTCAAATCTGCATAAAATTTCCCTAGACTTCATATTTGCTCTCGTATGCAGTCAGGAATATCAAGGTGGGCCAATTTTTACACTTCTTAGGATTTTGTCGTAGTTCCCAAATAAATTCATGAAAAGTAGGTCAAATGTCTCGAGCCCAATTGGCCTGGAAAATTGAATGGAAAAAGCCGCAACTCCTTTTTTTTATACCTCTTACAATAAAATGTGGAATGTAGTCCGTGTTTTCATACACTTACATTTTTTTAAATTGGACTCGCTGTTTTTTTTTTATATTCTCAAATCTGCATAAAATGTCATTGTACTTCATATTTGCTCTAGAATGCTGTCAGCTATATCAAGATGGGCCAATTTTAACAGTTTTGGGGTTTTATCGTAGTTTCCGAATAAATACGCAAAAAGTAGTTCAAATGTCTCAGGTGGAAATTATTTCATTTTAGGATTCGGGAATCGTGGAATCTTTTCTTTGATAAATTTCTTAGGAATTTCAAGAAATAATTAAATTATAAAAGATTATTTCTGGTGTTGTTTACCCCTTAAATTTTTTTTATATAAAAATGTTTGCATATAAAAAAAGTTATTGATCATCACAAAAAACGGCTCAAAATTAATAGCGATTCTCTTAAACAATCCAAGTTATATGGATAATATGATTTTTACCATCAATTTTTCTAAAAATCGAACCTAAAACGTTAGAACTACTTTTTGTGTATCTACTTCAAAAACGACCTGCAAAAAAGTGCCCTGAACCCGAAAGTGTAGAAAATGGGTCTGCTCTACACAAAAAAATTTATATCGACTTTATAAATTTATTATTTATTTATTTATTCTTTTTTTAGGTTCGCAGATCCCCTCCCCCAAGTCTAGACAGAACTGCAAGCACCCGCCGCCGCAGTCGAGCCCCACGGCCCAGCACAAGTACAATTTGTACCAGGGGGTGGGCGGACAGCAGAATCCCAACGTAAGTGTTAAAAAAAAACAAAATTACGTGAGACGTTCTTTTCCCGTTTCGGCAAAATTTTTAATTTTTATTGATTTTCAGATGCAGAGGTACCCGGCGCCCATCCAGCGCCCCATGAATTTCCAACAGATGCAACAGAGCAACACGGTGAACCAGAAGCACAGGAACAACCCGAACAACAAGGCCCCCAACAGGCAGTACTACGGCGGGCAAAGTAAGTCGTAAGTTTTTACATCGACGCGAAGCGTTCATTTTTTTTAATACCCGTCCCGTATATTCGTTCTGAATACGTTTATAATCCGTTTCTTTATACAGGGCGTCCCAAAACGGAGGGTCGGTCTGGCAACCACACACACCCGAGATCGAAATAACATCATTTAAACAAAAAAAAAAAAATGTTTGCGGCGTATCTACATACTTCCGCACACTCACGTCGGTTAAAATAGAAAAAAAAAATTGAGATTAGCGGTTAATATCGTGAAAATCATTGAAGATGGCAAGAAAAAAACGGTTTTGAAAATTGTATTTTAACGCCCTGTACGTTTTAAACGAAGTGTTTTCGTGTGTATTTAACTTTGTGGTTACCTGATCGAAGTTTTTTTTTGGGACACCCTGTATATGGGGTTGTTCGTTGGTGAGACAAAATATTATAGATAGCTCCGTTATTATTAGAGATACAATGAAATTGGTTACGTGAAAGTTGAGGGGGTAAAAAAACTATGTTTAAAATTATTTTTGGATGTGGTGGTGTATAAGAGTTTTTGATGGTAAAAAAAGACTACGATTTACGAAAAAAAATAAATCGGTCAAAATCACACTAACCGTTTACCCGTATTTGTACCAGCAATACATTTTTATAGATTGTATTACACCGTTTGTCTAAATATGAAGCAATGCACAAATAACGGACTTTCCTCCGTTCTAACGCAGATTTTCTACAAAATGGAGTTGGTTTAAAACTCAAATAACTTTTTGTTGTAAATAAATTTGTAATTTTGAACAAGCAACGTCGTAAATTACAAATTTCTCGACAACAAAAAGTTATTTGAGTTTCAAATCAACTCCATTTTATTGAAAATCTGCGTTAGAACGGAGGAAAGTCTGTTATTTGTGCATTAATTCATATTTAGACAAACCGTGTAATAAAATCTATAAAAATGTATTGCTGGTTGCCTATTTACTGTAGAGACCTCTTAATTTTATTGTGAAGTAACTCTTTTTTGGCATTAGAGAAAATTACCAAAAATGAACTATTTCTTAAATGGGACATTAGAACTACTTTTTGTCCATTTTCAGAAAAACCTGGAAAAAAACTACAACTTGAAAAGAAAGATCTTTCAAAATCAAAGTGACTGTTTACGAGAGCAATTTTTAGCGCTGTTTTTTTTTTTAAATCCGTCCAATTTTAAAGATATTGAGCAAATGAGCGAACTCGAATAGATTCCAAAAATAAAAAAATATTACCTAAAAAATATAGGCCACTTGAAAAAGCGCTGCTGAGTAAAAGGTACAAACGGTAAGATCTTTTTTATCGTGGCTATTCTTGCTTGGTGGAATAGCGGCAATAGAAAGATCTTACCATTTCTACATTTTCCTTACGATTATTTCACGAAGTAGCCTTTTCTGCATACATTTTTTAACGTTAATAGACAAACTTTCAGAGAAAAAAAAATTTGCATCAAATAATAGCGGAATAACCCCTCGTGTAACTCAAGAATTTTTTCCGCAAGTTTTTTGGGGTTTTGTCGTAGTTTCCAAATAAATACACGGAAAGTAGTTCAAATGTCTCGAGCCCAATTAGCCAGGAAAGTTGAACGGCAAGAGCCACATCCCCATTTTTTCATACTTACATTCAAATGTGTGATATTTTTCATACTTATATTTTTAAAAATGGGTTTTTTTTATATTTTTAAATGCATAAAATTTCATATTTACTCTCGTATGCTGTCAGGTATATCAGGGCGGCCAATTTTAACACTTTCTGAGGTTTTGTCGTAGTTTCCGAAAAATGCACGAAAAGTAGTTCAAATGTCTCGAGCCTAATTTGCCTAGAAAATTGAACGGCAAGAGTTGCATCTCCATTTTTTCATACTTCTTACGATCAAACGTGTGAAATTTTTCTTACACTTTTTATAAAATAGGACCCCCATTTTTTTTTATATTTTCAAATCTGCGTAAAATTTCACTAGGCTTCATATTTGCTCTCGAATGCTGTCGGGCATATCAAAGTGGGCCAATTTTAACACTTTTTGGGGTTTCGTCATGGTTTTCGAATAAATACACAAAAAGTAGTTCAAATGTCTCGAGCCCAATTTTCCAGGAAAGTTGAACGGCAAGAGCCACATCTCCATTTTTTCATACTTACGATCAAAAGTGTGATATTTTTCATACTTATATTTTTTAAAATGTGATCCCGTTTTTTTTATATTTTCAAATCTGCATAAAATTTCAATAGACTTCATATTTACTCTCGTATGCTGTCAGGTATATATCAGGGCGGGCCAATTTTAACACTTTCTGGGGTTTTGTCGTAGTTTCTGGATAAATACACGAAAAGTAGTTCAAACGTCTCGACTGGAAATTTTTTAATTTTAAAATTTTGGGATCGTGAAATCTTTTCACGAAGTAGCCTTTTCTACATAAATTTTTTAACGTCAACAAACTTTAAAAAAAAAAAATTTGTATCAAATAATAGCGGAGCTATTGTTTTGCCCCTCGTGTAACTCAAGACTTTTTTCCGTCAGTTGGGGTCTGAGATTGACGCGTTTTCCAGATAACTCGCTGGGCTCCCAGGGCGAGAAGCCGGACGACCCGAAGATGGGCGACGGCGTGTCGCTGGGCGGCGCCAACCCCCCGACGAACCCGGCCAAGGCAGCGATCGGCACCGGCGCCTCGGTGACTGTCAACGCCGCCTCGGAAAAGGTCAAGGACAACATGAAGGAGGAGACGGCCGTGTTGAAGGACTAGGGGAGGTTTTAACTAAGCTTTACTTTAAGTACTAAAAAAGTTTCATTCTACTTTCAAAAAAAAAAAAGCTAAAAAAAAACAAAACTGTACATTTAGCTAGGAGCACACCCAGGAGGAGGACGTTTTGTTGAGGATATTTATTACTTTTTTTTTTAACCATTGATCTGTATTATTAGAGACCCGTTCGATTCGGTGTATTTATCGTTTTACTTCCGTCGATCGCGGCGGCCGTTTGAATTTAGGGAGAGACGGGGAGGTCCGCCGATTGGAAAAAACCTGTGTTTCAGAGAAGAAAGTAACTTACAAATTAGCGTAGCAGCATTATATCTGTGTCGTGACAAGTGTTTTTTTTTTTTTTTGTTGACGCCCGACGAACCCCCGAACGTACGTAAGCTCTCTGCGAAACGTGGCGGTTCGTCCGTTTCCTAGCCGGGATTGTGCAGCAGCTTGAGCGTACGGAACAGCCGCTTTCGCCTTCCTTCTCGTTTACGACGCGCTAAACCGCGCGGTCTCGCCGTGGCTCCTCCGGAGTGTGTTGGGTTCCGGGGAAGAGACGTAGCGTTTGGACTCTCCGGGTAGTGGTTTCGCTCGTTCGACCGAGGGACTCACGCGTTTGGATAGTGTCGGGTGGAAGTGCCGGCGACGTCTGTTTTTGGAGACTGGAAAGCTGTTTTTTTTTTTTCGTTACACAACTCCAATTTTACTCGGAACTAAATTATGTCCTACTCGAGATATTATTTAAAACATTCAATAGTAAATGGTTTAAATATATTGATTGCAGTTTTATTTCACCTTTGAACTACCACAATTTATATTTTCTTTGTCAATTGGTTATGCAGCACGTATACAGACTTGTAAATATGGTTGCATAAGTTCTAAAGTTTGACAACCAACGCCATCTATGAATTATAATGCAAATTACAATTATCCACTAAAAAGAATCCATAAATCTATTTCTAATATTTTTATTAAATATAATAACGACATTTTATGAATATCAAGAGATGGCACGAAATAAAATTGTCTTAGAATGTGATAAAAGCGTTATTATAAAATTGTAAGTTTGGTTGCCTAACATTTGCATGGATATGATCCTTGAAAATTTTCAAAAAATCTAGCTACTCATCTAAAGGCATTACCATAACGCTCCTGGAATTGCCTTTTTCTTATTAAGTTATAAAAAAGATACAAAAAACTGGCGATTTTAATAAGTATCGAAATTTTGTTAATTTTTATGCAGCCAAGTATACACCTGCATGTATTGTATGTTGCCTACCGAACAAAAACTTTGGTGAAACGAAAGAAAAAATGGAAAATCTCGAAAGCTGGTTTAGTCAGAGAGGAACTGAAAGCAGTTTTGGATTGGTCAAGGTCATTATAATTCTTTCATCCGGATTTTTTTTTTCAGATTTTTCCGAGTCCTAAAAATTTTTGAGAAAATCGAAAATTATCAAAAAATTTAAGTGCTTTTCTAAAAGCGATTCTGTACGTAACTGAATCGTCAAACACGCTGTGATGGTCCGTTTTTTTGCAAGTGTTTCTGCCGAAAAAAAAATCGAAAATCTCGAAAAATGTAGAAGATAGAGAAAAACTGAATGTAAGTCACAGCCGTCATAGTTCACTCTTTTTTTTTCATTATTTTAAAAACCAAATTATCTACGATCTTTCCAAAATACACTTCTCTTTTTATCAGGCGCGGCAAATACCTCTACAAGTTTTTAAAAATATCAGGTGCCATAAATACATGGTCCACAAAACGTATAAGATTCTTACAAAAACTAGACAAAATTTTCATTAAAAAGATAAATTTTGGCATCAGAGTATTATTTAGCTTTTTTCTATTAGGCGCGGCAAACACCTCCTTCTTCAGTCCCGTGGTCATTAATAGGCGTCCTTTATCCTATTAAATTAATAAAGTTATAAAAAAATACGAGGAAAAACTAGTGACAGCAGAAATTATTGTGACGGCTTATGCAACCATGTATACACTATTTTGTATTATGTGTTGCCTACCGAACAAGAACAGTACGAGTTAGACAACAGAGTGAAGGTTTGAATTGATTTGAGCCATTGTAATTTGCCGGAATATTTTCTGGTTTTTCTGGAACCTAAAAATTTTAGAGAAAATCGATGGAAATTCAAAAAAATTGTCAAAAAATAAAAGTGCTCATTTAAAGGCAGTTTTGTCTCAATCTTTCTTTAAAATAGTGATGTAATGTAATGTATTGTACATTTTTAGTGAATCATCAATAGCCGTCCTTTTTCCTATTAAGTTACACAAAAAAATACAAGTTAAAAAACAGGTGACTCTGATCGTCTAAAAATTTTGTGAATTATTATGCAGCCAAGTATACACTATTATTGTATTGTGTGTTGCCTACCGAACAAAAACAGAATAAGTTAAAAAAGAACAATGATGTTATGAATCGATTAATCATTATAATTCACCAGAATATTTTGTGATTTTTCTGAAACCTGAAAATGTTTAAGAAAGTCGATGGAAATCCACGAAAATTGTCAAAAAATAAAAGTGCTCAATTAAAGGCAGTATCGTCTAAATTTTTCTTTAATATAATGATGTAATGTAACGTGTTGTTCATTTTTAGTGCATTTGCCTATAATCCTTCACAGTCCTGTGGTCAACAATAGACGTCCTTTTTCCTATTAAGTTATGGTTGGTTTATAAAAAAGTTTTAGTCCTAACTTAGCCGTAACTTAACCTTAATCTTAGTCCTAAAAAGTTAAATGTACAGAATGTAATGTATGGGTTTATAAAAATCCCTAGTCGTAAGGAGGTCTTAAGCCTTGAAAGTTCGCATCTTTTAATTTTTCTAGGATTAAGTCTAAGATCTGAGAAGTGCGCATGCACAAGTATTGCATTTCGTAGTATAGTGGTCTCCTGTCTTTGTCTGGTGTTCGCCATTACGCCATTACCTGTGCCATTACCATAGTAATAGGTTATATTTTTCTTTTCACTCACCAACAAAACAAATAAAATAACATTACCACAGAATAATAAACAAGTATTATGCTGTGATATTACTAGCCATGCGCGTAGTCGAATCGCTCATTGGTTAATCTTAATAAAATTAGGACCACACATTGTTTTTATAAACGTGTACCTATTCTTAGGACTAATACTAAGATTAGTGTAAAGGTTAATACTAAGACTAAGACTAAGTTAGGACTAATACTTTTTTATAAACCAACCATTACACAAAAAACTACAAGTAAAACACTAGCAACTATGATCATCTTCAAAAAATATTGTGAATTCTTATGCAGCCAAGTATATACTAGTATTGTATTGTATGTTGCCTACGGAACAAAAACGGAATGAACTAACGAAAAACAATGAAGTTTTGAATCGGTTAGGTCCATTATAATTCGCCAGAATAATATCTGATTGTTCTGAAACCTAAAAATTTTTGAGAAAATTGATGGAAATTCACGAAAATTGTCAAAAATTAAAAATGTTCATTTAAAGAAACTTTTGTCTCGACTTTTCTTTAATATAATGATCAATGTAATGTGTTGTACATTTTTAGTGCATTTGTCTATAATCTTTTACAGTCCTGTGCATTAATAGACGTTTTTTTCCTTTTAAGTTATACAAAAAAAAAACAATAAAAAAACTGGTAATACAAAAAATATTTTGTGACGACTTATGCAGCCAAGTATACACAGTATTGTATTGTGTGTTGCGTACCGAACAAAAATTTGTAATGAAATTTAAGAAAATACAGAAATTTTAGAAACTATTGAAGCTAGACAGGAACTGAATGCAGTTTTGGATTTTTCTGAGCTCTAAAACTTTTTGAGAAAGTTGAAGATGAAGTGCCTTTCTAGAGATGGTTCCGTATGCGTCTGGGTTCGCTACGATGTTTTAATTACTATTAAAATCTCGTTGTCTAATCGACGAATTAATGTTCCACTCACAAGTTACTGGACTATTAGTTCCACTTTCGATCCTTGTTTTTACGTGTATCCGGTTTTTTATGTTAATACGTCCAATTTTTTTATATGTAGGATCCTGAATGGTTATTTGGCAATTTTGATTGGTAAAACAAATGCGTAATAAAATTTTGTAGTTTTTATATTTCACTTTTTTACGCTAGAAAACCCTTTAACTACGAAATTAAATATTTTTTCCGATGTTCTTTATTTCATGGCACCCTAGACACGCAACAGAAATTTTACTTTTGTTTCTTACGATGGAGAACACAAAATGAAGAAAGCCAATTAATTACGATATAAAATAAAACTCGATGTAGTTTTATAAAAATGTATATTTAAAATTATTATAAAAATTCATACTTCGTTCCAGTCTTTGCTTAAATATCGACATAATTTATCAATCTACCTAACGAATTAAATATTACATTAAAAACGATCAATTATTAACAGGATTTTGCTTCTGAAATTCCATCATAAACTTAACCAGCAACGTCACGTCATCTAAGGACACGGCGTTGTACAAGCTAGCCCGGATCCCCCCGACCGACCGGTGACCCTTAAGCTGAAACATATTCAACTTCTCCGCCTCCTCCAGGAACTTCGCTTCGAGCGCTTCGTTCCCCATTTTCCCTCCAACCCGGAACGGGATATTTATCCTGCTCCTCACGTTGGCGTCGATCGGGCAGCAATAATACGACTTAGAATTCGCCATGGTCTCGTAGAGCAACTTGCTCTTCTCGTCCGACTGCTTCTCCATGGCCTCGACCCCTCCCTTCTCTATTATCCACTGCAGCACCTTCTCCATCACGTACACCCTAGAAGAGAACACGCGTTTAAAAAAAAACCTAGCGTTTACGATTAATACGGAAACTTACGAAAAAGTGGACGGTGTATTGTGTATAGAATTCTCCTTGTTGATGTGGGTGAAATCGAATACTGAAGGGCAAACAGTCATGGGGTTCCCTAATAAATCTTCCCTGATTATTACGACGACCACTCCGGAGGGGCCGATGTTCTTTTGGGCTCCCCCGAAGATGACTCCAAACTGCAAAACGAAGGTAGGTACGATTAACACAAAGTCGCACGATTAAAATTTGTCTTTACCTTCGACACGTCTACTTTCTTGGTCATTATGCTGGAAGACATGTCACATACGATCGGGACCCCGTTCGTGTTTGGCACGTATGGAAATTCAACTCCTGAAAGCGATAATTTGAATTTGTTTTTTATTTATAATAAAATAAAAAATATTCACATATAAATTATTTAATCGTAAAGCTTTTTCTAGAAAGTCATGTACGTTTTTGTATGTGCACGGGCCGGCTCTTTAATTTTTCAATATAAATGGCCCAATTTAGGCTTAGCGAGGCAAAATATCCATTCGAGAACGAAAAAGCGTTTCGTGCTCGAGAAAATATTTTTTTGAAAACCAATAAAATAAGACACTTGTTGCATACAATTTAATTTAAATTTGAAATAGTTTAAACCGTGTTTGAGTAAAAGCTTATATATTTACTTTCATTAACTTACTTTTCAGAAAAACTGGATCACAAAGGAACAGTATTAAAATAAAATTTAAATATTTTCTGTCCTATCAAAAATTATTGCATCTCTCGTTGTCACGTCAAATACATCCGTATACCTTATAAACTACCTATACTATTTTTATAGTAGTCCAACCAAATTTCACTTGGAGAAAAAAAATTATTACCTGGACTTTTATATGTGGAAATGGTAAAAGGGCTTATAATAAACCTAAAAAAAATAAATGCGTGAGCAGGGGCGGCGGAGGGTTGATTTGGGGGGTTGAAAAGTTATGAAAAATTGTATCATTGGGATTTCTGTATCCAATATAAAAGTTGTAGATCAAGCAAAAAATACTTTTGTAGAAGTCACTTTTTGACATAACCTCAAAATTTCCGAAAAAAATGCGAAAAACAGTTTTTTTTCTGATTTTTCGTTTTTTATTCCTCATTTCCGCAAAAATAATTTAATTTTGACGAAACTCGGTGAAAGTATACCTTTCTCTGCCTTAAATAACCTCAAATTTTTTTAAATAAAAAAATCAACATGTTTCTGAGATATTCATTTTTTTTGGCCTGAAACACTTTTTTTTCAAAGAAAAATTCTACTTAAAAAAATCATCGTACAGAGTACTACCGGTAATCATTTTTTTTGTTTTGACATACTTTTTGGTGAAATAAAAAAATCTGTAATAACATTTCAAAAACGCTCAAAAATGCAAAAAAAATAAAAAATTACGCAACAATGAATTTTTCAGTTATTAAAGTTAATAACGTCAATACAGCACAAAATATCCAACAATTTTTTTTAATCCAAAATTTAAAAACTTGTACCTAATAAAAAAATAATAGGAATTTATGAAATATTTTATTATTTCTAATTAGTATTGCTAACAGTAGTAAAAAATTGTTGGATATTTTGTGCGGCATTGACTTTTATACTGTTATGACTTCATCCAATAGATATTTTGAAAGCGTTCAGAACCGTACTCAGGAAAAATTTTAAATTATAGCGAAAACAAGCTAAAAACTTTTTAAGCGATTACAATAGTAATATTCCTCTAATTCAGAATTAAAAATAACTAGATTTTGTCATAAAAATAGCAGCGACGTATTTAAAAAAAATAATCCGATGATGGCCCCTCGAAGACGAAACGTTGGATTGCAAAAATGTTGACGCCATTGTATAGAGCGAAAAAGGTGGCATTGTAAATATGTAATTTACTTTAAAATTCGTTTTCAAATAAAGCCAGAAAAAAATTAAACAATTTAACAAATTTTCGAGTTTCGGAAAAAAAATAATTGATTTTAATTATTCACTATTCGATTTATGTTTATAGCAATATTGTATAAAAATAGTTTTGGGTCAAACAATGAGACAGTTTTTTTTTGTATTTTTTCCGTACAATTGAAAGGCGTAATCAGTTTCTGATTTTTTTAAAATTTAAACAAATTATCAACAATTACTGAAAAATTCATTGCTGCAAGTCATTTTTTTCTTTTTTGTATTTTTGAGCATGTTTTTGAACTGTGATTACAAATTTTTTTTATTTCACAAAAAAGTATATGTCAAAACGAAAAAAATGATTACCGGCAGAACTCTCTAAGATGACTTTTTTTAAGTAGAATTTTTCTTTGAAAAAAAGTGTTTCAGACCGAAAAAAATGAATATCTCAGAAACTTCTTGATTTTTTTATCTAAAAAAATTTGAGGTTATTTAAGACAGAGAAAGGTACCTATACTTTCACCAAGTTTCGTCAAAATTAAATTTTTGCGGAAATGAGAAATAAAAAACGAAAAATATCAGTTTTTCGCATTTTTCTCGGAAATTTTGAGGTTATGTTAAAAAATCACCTCTACAAAAGTTGTATATTTTTGCATGATCTACAACTTTTGTATTAGATACTTTTTTGTTTGACGTCAACTTTCGCCATAAATCCCAATGATACAATTTTTCATAACTTTTCAACCCCCCAAATCAACCCTCCGCCGCCCCTGCTCACGCATTTATTTTTTTTTTTTTCGTTTATTATAAGCCCCACTTATAAAAGTCCAGGTAACAATTTTCTTTTTTTTTCCCTCGAAATGAGTTATTTTAATCGGTCTATAGGTCAATGTATACATCACGATTCATGACAGTTTTGATACTTTATAATTTGAGGTTAATCTCACGAACCTAGTGGATCCGTTATTTATCATTATATAGTGAGTGTGGCAGTGATAACTGATAAGTGTATTATAATTTTCCATGCTCTCCATGTTAATTAAAATTGTAATAAGCAAAAATAACACGCAAAAACACAACCGGTCACCAGAACAACAAATAGTAAAAAATGCTAAATTAAATGACGGATGACAGAAAATGTGACTGTTCCAGCAATGTCAGAATTGTCAGAATAACCAACTTAACTTGTTATACCAACTTAAATTTAAAGCGTAATGCATTGTGACATAGTGGACGTCACAACGCCTTGTAGAAAAGGTAGGAAAATGTTCATATTTTAAAGTGTAATATCTCAGTTAATATTAGTAAAAACAAAATTGTGATAAAGCTATATTAGTTTTAAAACATGCTGAATTAAAATACATAAAAAAATTTAAAATAAATAAAAAAATATATGTGAAACGACCCTATTAATCCCCAAAAAATTGTCGAGACAGTACGAGATTGCCTACAACGAATTCAAAAATTGGTGTAGTTTGAAGAAAATTTAAAAAATGTCTGAAGCGGTATTACTGGCATATTTCGAACATAAAATTAATAAAATAAAACCTTCGACGTTATGCTCAGTACATTCCATGTTAAAAAGTACTGAATGCCAAAAAACATGTAAATGTCAAAATTACTTGATGTTATGTTTGATTTGAAGATAAAAATTGTTTTTTTTAACACATGCCTCAAAAAAAGCCATTTTCCTTTACCGAAAGTCACTTACATAAATAATCTAACTGGAAACAAGGCAAAACATTTTCCTTGCGTGTATTCAACAAAAAGTGCATGCTCTTACCGTCGACGGTTTCGTTATCACAATAATAGACGTAGGACGCCTTAGGATCGTAGTTCCACGTCCTCTGATCCGGAATACTGCCCGGTTTGTCGGCTTTGGGGAATAGGAGGTTCACTTTCCCGTACTTCGTCGCTTCCTTGGCGGCCTTCCCCGACCAAGTTCCAGTCACGGCGTAGTCAGCAGTTCCCGTTCTGTTGATGAGATTCAGGGCTACGGCGGCGAAGGTTCCGCATCCTCCCCCTTGCATGAAGAGGATGTTGTAGTTGTCCGGGACTTTTCTAGAAAGAAAACAAATTTAAGCAAACGATTATCGTAGCATCTATCTACTTACAACAAGGCTCGTACAGCTTGTTGAGCGTTTTTGTTAATGTCCATGTATTCCTTGGAACGGTGGCTCATTTCGATGATGCTCATTCCCATCTTTTTGTAAGACAGAAATTCGGATTGCACCTGTTCCAAAACCTATAACAAAGGATGTATTGTATTTTTTTATAGGTATATTTACAGGAATATTTTTCCCCGCATTTCATTAAAACAGTTTTGGTACAAAAATGCGGTTATTAGGCCAAATTTAACCTAATGCATATATTTTTATTTGGAAATTCCGATATTACTTCTGAATATTTGAAACTTTATTTAATGGAAAAAAAAGAAAACGTATGTAACTCGATTTTCTCTTGAGGCCCCTCTTAATAACTTAAAGCCGGCCCTGCTCCCAAATATAAACAACACACTTTCACCAATAATTGTCTCTCTTAAGTGTTTTGTTTTTAATATGTTTTTAATCATTCTGTTTACAATACTATGCTTCCCACTTAATGACGTTTGTGGGTGGCAAACACACCTTTAAAAACTTTTAGTAACTATAGGCTATTGATTATGTAACGAGCGTTCAAATAAAAACGTGGTCAAGTTGGTTCTGAAAATTTGGACGTAGGGCGTAGCGTATAGCAAATGAACTTAAACGTCATCTGTCAAAGCACGATACCGCCGCTATCAATTTGAATATTTTCGTTTTAAAAAGCGTTTAAAATGGTGTTTCCTCAAGAACAAAAAGTGTTTATCATAGAGTCCTACTTTAGAAACGGACGCAAGATTGATGGAATATGGAAGTATTCTATTGAGGAATGTTTCATAGAATTTCAAAATCAATTTCCCGGCGTTGTTGAGTACAACATTTTTCAAAGTGCAGTTCAGCGTTGTGTTAATGTTTTTCGTGAAACGGGCAGTATAACAAGAAAAGAAGGAAGCGGCCGACCTAAAAAGCGGACTGAAGAATTAAAAGAAAATGTCCAACAAATAATGGAAAATGCGCCTAGAACTTCTGTACGTGTCTTATCACAAATGGTGGGAGTATCAGTCGGTACCTGCCACACAGTGTTAAAAAAAGATTTGCGTTTGTTCTCCTATCGTTTAACTTGTCAGCAAGAACTTCATGAAGTTGATTTTCTGCGGCGGGCTGTATTTTGTGAATGGTTTTTAAACAACTACAGTGAACTTCATAATATCACCTTTTTTTCTGATGAAGCCTGGTTTCATTTAAGTGGTTACGTAAACTCACAGAATATGAGAATGTGGTCTTCTGAAAAACCAGATAACTTTTTTGTCGAGGGCCCTCTACACGCTCAAAAAATTGGTGTTTGGTGTGCTCTCAATCGAAGGAGGATTTATGGACCTATTTTTTTTAATTGTACTCTTACTGCGCAAAGGTATAGAGAAGAAATTATCGCTCCTTTTGTTAACCAGCTGGAAGAAAACGAAATTACAAACTTTTACTTTCAACAAGATGGCGCAAGGGCACATACGGCAGGCGAGACGATGAATATGTTGAGGGAAGTTTTCCAAAATCGACTAATAAGTCTCAATGCTGAACATGAATTTCCACCGAGGTCATGTGATATTACGCCGTATGATTTCTTTTTGTGGCCTTACCTTAAAAACACTATTTTTGAACTGCCTATTCCTGATTTAAACCATCTGCAGGCTCGACTTATAGACAAGATTCGTGAAATTAACAATACCCCGAGCATCTTAGAAAATGTCTTTAATTCGTTGAGGAACAGGTGTGAAAAGTGCTTGGAACAAGGAGGGGGACACTTTCCGCAGCTCCTTTAATTGTTTGTTATTGTTATCACGATTATTCTTTAAAATAAAGTTATATAGTCATTAACGTTATTGAAACTGACAGCTGCTATACAGCTCGTTGAGAAATGAGGTTAAGTTGGTCGCTATAAGCTACTCCCTACGTCCAATGTGTCAGAGCCAACTTCGACCACGTTTTTATTTGATCGCTCGTTACTTTAGATAGGAACTACAACGTAACGGAAATTTTATTGTTTGATATGTTCAATTGACCCTAAAAAATGATAAAACCGCGGAGTACTACTTTTTAAAGGAGTGCGTTTTTGAGAATGAAGTAAAAAGGTGGTATTTTCAGTTTTTTTAGTTTTACTCGAAAACTATGCATTTTTTCACTATAGTTGTCAACAGAAAAGTTGTAGCAAATTGAATTTCCAATTTTGAAGTCCAAAAAATTATTTTTAACAAAAATATGCCCAAAAAACGAGTAAAAAAAAACAAAAAAAATGCGTTTTTTTTTCTTTTTGGTGTTTGGCCCACAACTTTTTTCTGAGTGGAGTTAGGTATAGGCATTGCTTCACAGAAAAAAAAATTAATGTTTTTTCCTTTAAAATAAGCCTAAAATAAACCGAGATACATTGGATCAAAGTTGACTACTTTTTGGATTTTTGGCCAATTTTTGCCCTTTTTTGACGATTTTCGTCTTATAACTTTTTTCTGAGTTAATTTAAGTATATGCGTAATGCCATATTCAAATGAAAGCTGGTTTCAAGACCTTTAAAATTGTGCTTGGTACAAGTTTATACAATTAAAATCAACCGAGATATGTCAATTTAACCAACGATACTTTTTCTTATTTTTATAAATTTTTTATTACGTTCGGTATTATTTTGTCTAATAAATTTATTTTTGTGAATGTGAAAGTTAAAATAAGTTTCTAAGTGATTGGATATTATTATTTATTTATTTAAGCAACAGTTAATCATATATATCTTATAAATTTTCAGTTTCATTTAGTATATTTTCAATATTAATATCAATTTAGTCATCATTTTCATCAATGTCCTCTTCAGAAAAATCAGGCTCATAAGCATTCTCACAATTTATTCCCATACATTCTTTAATACATTTACAAACTATTTTTTCAAGTAAATTTTCAGGTGCAGGAGATTTATTATTAAAAATGGGAACTAGCCCATTTATGGAATTTTTCCAACCCCAATCAAGGGGATTTAAAGTACAACCATTCCACTGTTGCATCTGAAAATATACTCTGAACCCATGATGATTGAGAGCATCAGTTGTTGAAGGCAATCGAGATAAGGTAAATTTTGCACTTGTTGAATACTTTTGAAACAATTTATTTATCGACAACTTTTTAGGCTGTCAATTTTTTTTTCAGATGCAGCAGTGATATCCTCAACACTAACATTTTCAAGTAAAAATACATCGAGGTAATTTTTTAATTTTGAACAATTTTTATTTACAAAATTGAAATTTTTTTTATAATTGTAATTTTTGAATTAAAAGTACAAAAATAATTAAAAAAATTCGAAATTTTACAAGATAAATATGATTAATTGTTGTTTAAATAAATAAATAATAATATTCAATCACCTAGAAACTTATTTTAACTTTCACATTCACAATTCAATTTACTACAACTTTTCTTTTGACAACTATAGTGAAAAAATGCATAGTTTTCGAGTAAAACTCAAAAAACTGAAAATACCACATTTTCACTTCGTTCTCAAAAACGCACCCCTTTAAAAGGTGTAGCACTCCGCTGTTTTATCATTTTTTAGGGTCAATTGAACATATCAGACAATAAAATTTCTGTTACGTTGTAGTTCCTTTGTACCCTCTTTTTTTTTGACATAGTCAATAGCCTACTACTAAAGTAACTTACTTAAAAAAAAAACTAGCTCACCTCTCTGGGCAATTTAGCGGGCCCAGCCCCGAAATTCAAAGCAGACTGCGAACTTCCCATGTCGTTGACACAAATCACAGACTAAACGTGGTGCGTGTTGTAATAAATTACAAAATACCGACACCGTTCTCTTTCGAGTCGTACAAATCGCGAAATGGTGCTGGGATTGAACCGCGATTAATTTATGGAAACACAGTTGCTTTGGAAATGGTGGGGGCTGACGACGTTGAGTGGTTACGCTGGCAAGTGGCAAGTCAGTGATTTTTTGCACAGTCCACAGTCTAAACGAGGAAGGAATCTCGATGGTGATGTGAATTATAGCGGGGAATATGCTGGTCGACATTGAAAATGTAGCAAAAACGCATGGAAAAGTGTCGTTTTAGGGTTAGGTTGCAAGAGGTTTGCGCCAAACTATTTTAAAAGTCGTTGTTTGCTTCGATTGCGCGGTAGATTTGTTTAAATTAAACAAAAAAATGTTAAATGATGAAAATTAAGCCAATAATTTACCTGAGTAGACGTAAAAACGCACTAAGCTGACTTACAAAATTGCCAGATCTTCAACACCATCGAGTTTTCTGCTAATTCGGTTAGTGCCATTTATTGCCAATGAAATTTGTATGAAAAAATTATAATATTTATTTAAAAAAATCAGGAACAAAACTGCTGGAGATGTACCATTTAAATGGATAATTTTCAGTGACACTTAGGCACTTAGCATATAAGAGACAGTAAATCTAACGAGAGAAAGTATTTGCAGTTTCTTGAACTCATTTGGAGATATTTGGATGAAAGGGGACGAAATACTGTTAGTTCCCATTGGAAACAATAAAATTTTACAAAAATTGCTTTGAAAATGTAAAATCCGTAAAAGAATCTCAAGTAAAACTTTTTCGCTGTTATATTATTCTTTTAGTGCACCATTTGATGCAGCTTGCAAATTATTAAAATAAATCAAAATAATCCTCAAGTAACTTCAACTTTTCTTGTTAAAGCTGTTTTACATTGACAATTTATCGACGAATTAATTCATGAAGTCGTTTCATCAGGAAATTGGACAAGTGTAATGACTTTTCGTTAATTTCTTGGTGTAGTTCAGAAGTACCAACCCAACAAATTTGCAATTTTCTCTATTTGCAGCCTCAGATGGATAATGAGGTTATGTTATTTGAAAAATGTAAATAATTGTGTGGCTTCGCATTAGTTTTGTATTATTTTTACTGATTTATTACTTACAAAAACTAATATTTATATAATGTGTCAAAACGGTACCGCTGTTGTACCACTACAATTATGAATGGAAAGGTGACATTTTTGAAATTTATTTGCTTCCTTTGATTCGTTGGTGGAGCTGATTTATGAGTCAAAGATATTCAGGAAGTCTATAGCAGTGTAAAACCAAACCGTTTACAAATAAATTCGAGAATTAATTAATTCATGAATAAATTGTCCATGTAAAACAGCTATTTTAGACATACGAGTATTTTTTGATCGTACCACCTCAGTTCATGACGGTGGCGGTTTTTTTTTTAATAGTAAAACATGTCACAACCCTTTAGGAATAACACGCGATGAATGTACAAATTTTTTGAAGGTGTTTCGAAACGGCAAAGAAAAAACGTCAGATTAACATATTTTGATTGTGTTTCCCAATCCAGTTTTGCAACGTAAACATATTTGCGCTGTAAGGGGAAAGTGTTGCAAAGGACTGTGATAAAGACAACTATCACATGGGATTATGGCGAAAATAGCTGTTTCTATGGTGTTCGTGGCGTATTTTTGAGATAACTGGGGTCAGGAGGCGGCATTGAGAACGTTCCATGGTGTTGTAAAGTAAACAATATGTTTCAAAATCCCATATCAAAAGTCGGTTGTGGAAAGTTTATGGTGTTTTATGTTTCAAATCCCATAAACGCTGTGTATTATTTTTTCTATTATGCCTTAAGCTTGATATGGTATGCAAATATTTTTCAAATGTAATCAAAATTCGCGTCAGTTTTAGGCAGGTGCAAAATCTAACAAATAAAATCAAAACATGTTTTTATACTTACTTACAAAAGGCTAATAGTATTCGCTATGTCTATTAATATATTCGTTATTTATAATACGTACTACTATTGTTTATTTTTTGCAAATAAAAATATATAACAGCGAAAAGGGTGAACTTGAAATAGGTACTAACAATAGACTAAAAGACTAAAATTAGTCCATAGATATATAACTGTTGAATAACAGTTATAGTATATGGTTTCTTTATATTTCAATTCGTGTCCTTTTTCTATATCTATCGACAGATATTCTAGCAAATGTCGGCCTAATGTTCTTTGCGTATACATTTGTTTACTTACAAATTTCATGTTTCTAGAATATGTTCTTTTTGTTTCCATCGTGTTAGAAACTTAGAGCTTGTTCTATATTGATCTTAGAAACCCATGAAAATTTCGAGAAACAACGAAAAATATGTCAATGGACGCGCCAATGCGCGGGGGGTGGTGAGTATTTGAAAGGTAAGTTGATAATTGTTACTGTTAACTGTAAAAAAAAACAGTTTTTCAATTTTTTTTTATTTTTAATTTCAAAACAATTTTTTTTCTTGACATTTGAAATATTCACTGTAAAATTGTAAAAATGAGCGCAATTTTATTTTTAATTTTTAAAAATTGATTTTTTTTCCAAAATTGAATTTTTTTTCAAAATAAATTTTTTTTTTTCGATATTTGATGAGTATTTAACGCGAAATTGCTGCTTTAATTTTTTAATAAAACTGACGATGCAGGAAAGGAAAACGGTTCTACCGATTGATTTCAAAATTTAGAAGCCTCATGGGCTATTGAGCTAAAAAAAAACCTACAAACATAGGTACTTTTCGCAATATTTGCAAAGTAGTCGTTGATTTTCCAAAACAGCGGAAAAAGTCCGTAATTTTTGTCTTGCATTATTTTTATTTGAATGCGCCGAGGATTCTCAAAAAAATTTTTCATCTAAAGAATTCAAAACTAGAATCTTCAAGCTTCAAAATGGTTTTTTTATTTTCTCGATACAACCAACCATTATTCAAAAAATTATGGCCTTTCAAAAATCACTGTGTATGTAAATGAAATTCGGTACAATATATTTCTGGTATCTGGTATTGTCTGATTGACATTTGATAAGATTTTTTGAGAAAATATTTATTCCTTCAATTTTTCACAGCGCGCTCATTAAATTGCGATTTATTCCAATTACCATGTTTTATTTTTTTTGCTACAGTGTGACATATAATGTTAAAGTAATCATAATGCTCCTCTGTTATGTATCTAGATATAATATTCCGTTAAGCAATTTTTATTGTGGTTAAAAATCAATTTGTTTGTCCATTGTATGTATTTTTTGAATTTCTCATGTTTCTTTAATGAAACTAAACATTTCTAATCAAGAAATTTTCTGGTGACGTTTTTAAAATAACCATTACATCAAGTTTTTCGCGAAACACTATTGTTTTTGTTTGTTATTATTATTAAACGCGTCTTATTATTAGGAAAAAAACATTTCGTTATTTGCGTGATTGTTAATTAATTAAAAATAAAGACGGAAAACAGCCTACGCCATGCCAAGATGAAGGGTGAATATCATTAAGTAATCACCATATGGAGAAGTGATAACATTTACCAGTTACAGAAATATTGTGTTTAATTGTCGTAATGGGGTTTCAATTTTAATGTTGCATCACGGAAGTCGTAATCAGCGGGTCAACGGGTCAGACGAATCATGAGTATTTACACAGAAATGAAATGGGAGCGTTATGGTTTTCTTTGTTAAAATTACATACACAGGAATGACTAGGGTATTTTGCTCAGCTTTCGTCGATTAACGAGAAATTTACAGACTTTTCGCGGTTGAAAGCTCAACAAAATAAATAAATATTGTTCTCTAGTTTGTATTACAAGTTAAATCTAGATATTTCTAGTTTTGTGTTTCGATTAATAACTCGATTTTTTTATAATTGGCATATAACCACAGATAATAGAATAATATACATTGTACATTGGTATGGTGAAAGTTAAACAAAGCAGCAACGATTTCGTCGGAAAATACAATCAAACTGTGTAACTGTATTGTAAAAAATAGGAGCTATATATAGACTTCCCCCGTATTGGTGTAGACTACAAAGAATGGCTAGGACTTTTTTTTCGACTTTAACCTAACCACGCGACCCCAGTCAGATGGTCATCTAACTGGATCACGAGAACTAGAAATATCCAGTTCGTTTTATTCAATAAACAACGTTACAATCTATATTTATCTCTAATTACAATTGCATAAGTGCAATTTTTATGACTGTAAATTCCTTTTCCATGCATGAGCAAGGGGAACTTACGACTGCATTTTTTGAACAATGCAAAATAATTCTGTAGCACCTTTATTCTAAAAAACGAGTACGTTCAACATCTATATTACAATATTTGTTTGCTTGTTGAATTAGGTTTATGTAACATATATAATTCCTTTGTTATTAATGTTTACGAACTTTTTACACGAAAATATGATAATAAATTCCGTGTTTTGATTCACAAAACATCTAAGTTGTTTTCAAAGGTGAATATTGCAGTTAAAACAAGCTAAACTGAGTCAATATCGTTATATTTTGCACTGCGTGAAATAAATTATATAGTCTATGGATGCTGTTTTAAAAGTAATTACGACCAATGAAAATTTATCGGGAACCAAATACTTTCTCTCAGAAAATATAACAAATATCTTTTACGTGAGTTGGCAGTTTTTCCGAGTATTTATATCACTACAAATAAACAAGGAATCAAAATCAGTTAATCTTAAATCCAAATGTACACAATCCGTGTGTATCGATAAGTTAATATTTGACTTCCTTTATAGGTCCGACGAAAAGAAATTTTCCATAAATTTTCTCGTGTGATTTAGGCAGCGACAAATACGCGACAGTTGTATTCAAAGTTGCATACATAGGAACTACGCGCATATCTGTATTACTTCAATTATTATAATTTTTAGCTTTTATTATTAAATTAAACTTATTTATAACAATATTGTGTCCAATAACTAGATTTGTTTGTCACTGACTCAACTTTGTTTGATGTCAACGTTGTTCAAACTTACGAATAAACGAATTCCCTGTTTCAAAATTAATTTTTCTAGTGATATTAGGGCGAAAGTCGCCCTGTATTCTTCGCCCTATAATGCGCAACACGTGCCCAAACAGGGAGTGTCGTACGTACGCACCTAATCAATATTTTCGTATTCTCCGCAAGTATCATATGATTTTAATTTCCTTACTGTGAGAGTTTTATCAAAAATCGCAGTAAACCGTTTTGGTGTGCTTAAATAAGTGTTCAGTGTCCCACATATACATTTACGGTATAGGAGTAGTATACAGTAAGTCTCGTTGAAATGGGGTTTTGGGAAAATTTTATGATGTGTAAACAAATCAATCTCTTTCCGGGGGAGGGGGACAGGAGCACGAAACATAGTTATCTAACCCTTAGGAATAAATTTTAACTATCAGAAAGCTATAGTAACATTTTATCTGCATCAGCTATTAGCAAAATTAATTAAAGATTATTGACACGTTTATTTTTTATCATTATTATTAATTATAAATTATTATTAATTAATTGTTCATAAAAACAATATTTGCGTTCTGCACAAAACTAGATTAAAATCATAATAGCAATTTCAAAAACCGAACAATTTTTTTTGCATAGCCATTTACACCACCAGATTTGAACCTGTTAGATTTTTCCCGCTATTAGCAGCAGATACATGGGTACAGCTTTGAAAACAGTACAAACCTATTGCCATAAAATTAAAAATCATATATTTTTTTTAGAAAATGGTCCGTACAGATCACAATTCCTTCGGCTACGCTTACCAGTTACCCTCTGGGGGTTGGGTTGCCAAAGTACGAAGCGCCCTTTCTCAGTTTAGCGACATTTTTAGCGAATTTGATAAATATATTGCTCCAGCTTACCACCACGACAGATGCGAAAGGTAGGAAATGCTTACCTCGATCAATAATAACGTTCACTCGATAGAGAGGCCCAAAAATTGGTCCTTGAGGCACACCATTTATCTGGTGACGCCTCAGGGATCTGCCTGTAGGTTTTTGTAATACATTTTAAGTTTTTTAATATAATTGTGGTAAGAGTAGGGAAAATTTTTAGGTCTGTGCAAATGAGGCTCTACACGATGCATAAAAGGGAATTCGTAATGGTGTTTATAGCGTTTTTCGCCTGTTTCGGGCTCGGAATCTTCGTAGGGATTGCCGGTACGTCTTTAGCTTCCCTGTTTGGTGTTACAATTACTCCTTTTCTATTTTTACCCCTAGGCCCTCCTATAACAGTCACCACTGAAGTAAACGGAGTGACGACCTTGCCAAAAAATAATAGTACGACTGCGAGCCCGAATAGAAAAGACATAGCCACTGGTCCTTTTATCATGAGAACGCCCAAAATGTCTACTTACGCCCAGCAGTTGTGGGTCATTGCCAAACTGTCCACAGAGAACACTGATGGTAACTCGCGGTAACTTTTTCTGACAGCGCCTTTATTTCGTTGTTTTTTTAGGGGAAATAATTGATAAAATGTTTGAAATATCTGTGGGGATATCGGGACTTACTGAGGATCACAAGCCTGTTTCTATTCTGGACATTAACCAAAATAACAGGTACCTAATTGTCACTGTCGTTTATGTCACAATGCAATATAAAGTGGGCTTAGATCCTAACCCTGAGTGACATCGAATTGATTTTATAAGTTATATAAAACAAGTCAATGTCATGTTGTGTGTATTCATTTTAGAACCAGACATTTGAAATGCGAGAAACAAAGCTGTGAAGAGTTCATAGTATTGCACTTAGGATTTTTAGACTACACACACTATATCATTACTGTGAACTTTTACGGACTAGAAGCTTTTCATTCTAGATACAACATAAACGAATTATACTTTTATGTAAGTTACTGAATCTCTGTTTCGCTTTTTGTACCTCAAGACGTAATTTCTTTTTTAGTTTAAAACTTACAATCCGGGGTTTACCCAAATCGAAATTTGGTTCAGGTTCATATTTTTGACGTTTACTTTCATAGTCACAGTAAGTAACTTGGACATTACGGAGTCGCCCATTTTACTTGCTCATTTTTCCAGTGCTGGTTTCAGCATACCCTTCGCAGGTATCCCATGTACGACTGGTCCATCGAACAGAAATGGATGTCCATCCTACTACCGTGGCTGATGGCTTACGATAGTAAGTAACCCAAAGGAAAACGCGTTTATTTTTAATCGATATGTTTCAGATCCGGTGTTCCCCATGTCCTTCCTCATCAATTCTTGGATACCCGGCATGATCGACGCGTTAGCCCAAGCTACCTTCCTGTGCGCGTTGCTGCTGTTTTGGTTGTGCATTTACCATGGTTTACGACAGGTAAACACAAGTGGGGTCAGTTTTTTAGGGGTAATAGCGACAGGCGTTTTTTAAAAGCACTGTGTTTAGTTTATGAATCTCTGTTACGTAACGAGGACGATTTTGCGCCCGAGCGGAGCGAGGGCTGGCAATAGAGTCCGAGACTGGTAAATTGTACTTAACTGCTGCGTGGTGTATAACATTTTATCTGCTCCCACAGTTCTTCATGGTTCATGAAATAAAGATTAGGTTTTATTTTTTGACATTTCTAAATCAATTCATTTTGACATTATTCGAAATCTTGCAAGAATGACGGCTATACACATAAAAAGTCAAAAGTTTTTACAAGAGAACAAGTCAACGATTTTCTCGTTCAGGCACCTCCTTAAAAACAATATATTAATAGTGGGAGCAGATAAACATGTATACGAATCATGCCGTAAGTTGTAGCTTCTGAGGTGTGTTAGTCTGTCCAAACGGTACGTGCGAAAATTCGGAGAAAACGGTTAAAAAAAACATCTTGGGAACGAAAATAAAACAATAAAATGAAATTGGTTCCCTAAAAAGGTGTTACGCTGCTATATATCTTATTTTTTAGAACGATAGACACTTTCTGACGTTTTATATGCCAAAACTCTTCGTGGTTGGGATGCTGTGGTTCCCTGCCGTCATCCTGTCGACTTGGCAGAGGGTCAACGAATTGCAGGACCCCACTTACAACCACACAGTTGACACTTCAAATTTTTATGTAAGTAAACACGTTTCGCCTCAAATTTAACCGTCGTCGGCCTAACAAATGGGATTTTAGATCGTGAAAGCGTTTTTCTACATTTTTGGAGTCATTTACTTGATCTACTTGTCCGTTTTGATACTAAGGGCTTACACCGAACTCAGGTCCATGCCGTTTTTTGGTAAGAAACGTTATAAATCAATTAGGAAGTAGTGCAAGTGCTCGATTTTAGGTCTGAGGCTGAAATTTTTGACGTTACTTATGCTGGTAGTCCTGATCATCAGCTGTATTATTACGGTGCTGAGGTTTGGCGTCGGTGTTCTTGAAGACAACTTCGTAGCCCAACTCTCCACTCATTACACGAACTCCTCGCAGTTTATGTCGTTCTACGGGTTGCTGAACTTTTACCTCTACGCCATGGCATACGTGTACTCTCCGAGTAACAAAGATATTCACGGTGAGTCGGTAGCTGAAGAGTATAATCGTGAATATATTGTTTCGTGTGTATTTTTCAGAGTTGGGGATTACCAAGGATAATCCGGCGTTCTCTATGATAAATGACTCCGATGAGGACGTTATTTATGGGTCGGACGAGGAGAGCCGCAGGCCTTTGAACAGGGCGCGCAACGACGACGATAGCGATTGAATAGACAAATAAGCGTGGTAATTATTTGCTGTAGCGTAACGCTTCCAAATCCCCCACCCTATTTTCAATGGTGCTGAACACGAATCCGAGGTTATTTTTGTGCAGTCGAACATAATTTTCGAGAAAAAAAATCTTACCTTACACTTAACGCAACATTTATCACTATTTCCAACAGTGTACTGTTTCATTTTTGGTCACCACTTGTGAATCACCCTGTATATCTTTTAAAAGATGTGACTCAAACATATTCTTCACAAAAAATTGAAATAACCAAGCTTGTTGTTTTTTTTTCAATAACATGTCATTCATTTGATAAATTAAATCACAAAAATAAGCTATTGACGAAATGAACGTAATTAAATATTTTGTTTCATTTTACCCAATATATCAGCTTTAATCAATTTGTTACCTGTAGAAATAAATTTGCGGTGCTTAATAACCTTATTTCAAATGATAGACAGAGAGGGGCAAATTCTAATCATGATGACCTCTTTCCTTAAGGAAGGAATTATTTTTTCCTGTAAAATAGCACATAGAAAGTCAGTTTGAAGCTCCCTCTTTCGAACAAACTTTGTTTTATGCATTTTCATCAAGAAACAAATGAGTAGTGACACATTTAGTGCAGCGCCACGCCTCTTTGAAATACGTTTTTTTTTTAGCTGATTGGCATAAGAATTATAATTTTATGAAAATCCCTAAAAATCTCCTAAATAGCTCACTGTACGAAGAAATCAATAGGAACCTTTTTTGTGGAGAATTTTATGCTCTACAACTTTGGTCCTTTACAAGTTTGTGAAATTTTCAATATTTTTCAAGTTATTCACTACTTTATGGACTACCTTGAAAATAGGGGGGCCAAGTCGATTTTACCCATTATTTGTGAGTTCTACCCTATAATAAACGATTACCAAAAGCACCAAGTACCTCCGAATGCTTGTATCAAGTGTAATCTCAATGTTATATTATTGTAAAAGTAATAAGTAACCAATTACCGTCAATGTTGCATTGAACTTAGGCAATTTGTTGTTTTGTATTTAGGTGATATATTTACACTTTTAAATGGTTGGATTCGTTGATTTTTGTACTGATATTATCTAATAAAAGGTTACATACTACGTTTTGGTTTTATTTAAAACACCTCGGAGTTATAAAGTAAAACAGCTCGGAAACAATTAAATAATTTATTAAACTTTATACAATAAAATATATTCTAAACATTCAAAGACACATTAATATTGGCAAATTACTTTTTATATGACTTACCGGTACAATAATCATATTCATACAGTTTACATGATGTTATTAGTGGAACAGCTGGGAAAATTTTTAGACTGTCAACTAAAGACATCTACGATGATTGTCTATTTCTTACATGAGGATATACGTCTACTTGTTGCAGATCTCGAGTATCTTAAGGTGTAGGTACTTAAATCTAACAGTTTTCGACAACATCTAACACCTATTTCGTTTACTTTGACACAGGTTTTGGCGTGGAGGGTCGAGGAAGATATCACATTCACATGTATTAGTTAAAGTTAGTAGAAAGGTCGACATACTCCCACTCTATTGCTTACTGCTTACTGCAAAACAAAGGACGGTTCTTTCGAATATTCTTCTTCTTCCTCTGGTTCTTGCAGTAAGCTACAGCAGCAAGAAGTACTAGGGGGTACAGTTACAACGGATACGACTATAGGGATCAGTCAGTCACGAAAGTTTGGTTTTTCCATTGTGCTTATTGTAAATATACCAACAAATTGTCATATCAAAAGTTTTATAGTTGTATTTAAAATAAACTTCGACCAAATGTTATTTTCAATCTGATTGTCTTTTGATTTTCGAATTGATACACGTTTGTTGATTTCTAGGGAATATAATCTTTAAATCTCTACTCTCGCAGGGGCGTACAACCAGTTTTTACATATAGGGAACATAACATTCATTACCTGAACACATAATTAAGAGTTTTACATTTATCAAACGTCAAAACACCCTGTATATTGACTCTAAACCCATTCAAACGATTTTTACGGTCGCCTAGATACATTTTACATCGAGAAATACGTTATATAATTATTGTGGTTTAATTTCTTTTTTAAATACCTAATTGTTAACAATTTAATCCAGTCCTGGCTACGCTTATAGTCTTATTTTCAAGTATACCCTGTTGTTCTAAGCACGATAAGCTTAGGCCAGTTTGAGGGAACCCGGTGAGCCTCAAGGTTCAGTTCTAGGCCCATTTCAAACGTCATTTACGCGAATTTCGATGGTTCTGCTAAAACTCTGATCGTATCAATATCTCTATATGGAACACAGAAGATTGTAGTTTGATTTTTGATTTTTATTATTACTAACAGGGTAGTTTTCTGTACGACTAATACTTACTTAAGGCTTATAAGTATACTGTGCGCTATGAATGTAGGTATATTTTTAATATCCTTCAAAATATTTTAGTTTTATTTGATGAAAGACAGTAATAAATCTTCCTTTTATTTTTTCTAAGCTACTGCTTCACTTCTATCTAGTTTATAGTGTTTTGTGAGTCACTTTATAAATGTTTAACTTTTAATATATCAGTTTTTTTGAAGGCAACATATTTCATTTTTAATTATCAGTTTTTATAGCAGTTTCCTTTACCTTTTTTTTATTTTATAATGGTTGAAGTCGTATTTCCATTATCTTACCAGAAACACTTATATTGACATTAATTTTGGTACGCAAAAAAACAATAGTTTGTTTAAATGAACTCCTTATAAAAAAATAAGTAGTTTTTTACAAAATTTGCGCTAATTCTACATTTGGAGAAGTTATTTTGTGACAAAATAAATTTTAAATATTCATTAACAAAACTTGTATCTTTCGAATGAAAAAGCGATAAACCTATTCTAAAATTTATTCAACCTAGCGTTGTATGTTACTTTCTTGCTTAAAACAGCAAGTTTTGCCCATTTTTCTCGCGTAAATATTGCGATACCTTCCCAAAATTTTTGGATGGCCCGCCAATCAAAACTAAAAAATGCAATGGGCAAATGCCAGTACCAACAAACCTTACGTTACGTTTTTGTGGACGGAAGTCGAGAAATTTCTGTGCCTCGTGATGGAGTGAACGAACTCTTCATTTTCTTTGCGTACTGAAACAAAGAAATAATAATCAAAAAGGAAAACAAACATTGGAAAAGCAAAATTCGAGTAAAAACTAATAAATTGGTCCTTTTTGGGCCGGACATTTCCCATTTATTCATTAGTAATAACAAAACAAGTATTATTTCTGGTATTGCACGGTAGTTATATAGTTTCTTACCACAACCGGCCATCCTCAGACTCGCACACGACCCCTGCGTGCGGGGAAAATGTGTAATACGTCACGTTTACAGTAGAATTGTTTCTGGTGACGGTAACTGTAGACCTGTGGGTCAAGGACACTAACACGGCCATTATACAAACGAAAACCAAAATTCCGAAGGTCACTATGATCACCGTGACGATCTTCCTCCTCCTCTTGTACTTCAACAACTCCTCCTCGGGTAGGTTCAACGAGATACTAGTTTTCTTCTTGTAGCTGGACACCGAATTGTTCCTGGAGTATTCGGGGTAGATGTAGGAGTTTTTTCTCGAACTCCTCTGCGAGTTGCTTCGTATCAGCGCTTGCGGCGTTATCTCCAGCGAAGTCCGTCGGGAGTTGTTGACCATTTTCGTGACTTCGTTCTCGAAATTCAAGAAATGGGGCGGGTCTTGGTGGTAACTATGTCTTTTTCTTTTGCTGCCGCCCCTGTGGCTCTTCTTGGAGTTCTCGCGACAGACCTGGGTGCTCCTACGTCTTTTCGACCTTGAGTGCTGTCTCTCTCTTCTACCAGCGAAAAGATACAGATCTTCGACGGACAAGCTTCTTGATAAACCGTGGACGGGGCACAGTTGGCTCGAGGACCCCGATGGGGTTGCGGAAGCGTCGTTATCGGTCAAGAAACCGGGCTTATCCGCCTTCTTGGACACGGACAGGTTGTTACACATTTTGTCGAGCTCTAGACTCGGACTGAGGAGAATTAGTATTAGTAAAATGAGTTTAATTTTAACTAGTATAAATTGTTTATCGCAGTTTTTCAATGGATATAAATAGAGAGTAGAAACGGGATTATAAACAAACTTACCGGTTTTTTGTGAAGGTGTTTAAAAGATCTCTAACTGCCGAGTTTTGTTGGTAATTATTTGTTATACTTGGGGATTAATATGCGCTATGCGGCAGAGGCGCGCGGAGGGATGCCGAGAGGGGCGAACTGGTTTAATAATTTAAGGAGAATTGACGTAGGTTGGTTGAAATTTGAAGGCTTAGGGGTGAAATTTCAGCAAAGGATAGAGAATTCATTCAAGTTTCTGAAACCCACCGTCGATTTTCTGTGCAACCATTGGCTTCTGAGATATCGATGAACAAAGAGAAAATTATCCATTTTCATTCAAAGTCCGATAGCTCAGCGAGAAATGGTCGTATCGAGACCAAAAAGAAAAGAAATTGAAGCTAAATGAACAACCTATCTAATCCATAAGGTGGTTAAGTTGGAAAAATTTTGTTCAAGTCCGTACACCAAAAATAAGATCGAAAAAAAAATTTCGAAACATTTTTTTTCATGATTTCGTTAAGATTGCGCGATACGTGTTAAATTTTTTTTTGGGAGATTCAAAAATTAGAAACTTCAAGCGTCAAATTGCTTTTTTTTTACTCTAATGCGACCATTTTTATCAAAGATACAGCCATTTGAAAAATCGCCGAAAATTTAGATTTTTTTTTGATCCCTTAATTTTTTCCACAAGTTTATAAAAAAGCTTAGTTGCTTTTGTGTGTCGACAACTAATAAAAAAATTAAATAGACTGAATAAAATTCAAATACGTATATATATTTTTTAATAAACCCTAAAAACGTCTGTATTTTTTATTCAAAATTCATTGGCACAACATTCTACGTCTCTTTGGCTTGGTTAACTATGATTTTTTTACGAAAGGTTAATTGTGAAAAAAAGATAAGGTCAAAGAAAATAATTGGTTTAAGAATTTTGGACCCGCTAAAAAAAGTTATGACTTTTTTTACTTCTTGGGGGTTGCACTGTATGTAAAATTGAACTTCTAATAAAAAATCCTTCAATTTTTTCTGTGAGATTCAAATTAAAACATAAAAAATTGCTCTTGTTTCGAATAAAATGGAAGAAATCTTTTCAATTTACAAAAAAACTTAGCTAGGTGTATTTTTTAGTGCAAACTAAAATTTTTCATGGCAATATTCTGCTGTCGTTAAACATGTTTTAGTTCTAAAACCTGAGTATAAGTTTACAAGGTTACTAAATCGATTAATAATGAAAAAATTGCGTACGCCTCTGTACTAATCCCAAAAAGAAAAACCATCACACCAAACAAAAACAACGCATGTTGTAATAGGTCCTCCCGATCTTGGAAATCGAAGGGATAATAATAAACATAACAATTAGTTCTCTTCTAACCTACATTTGGACTAATTATAGAAAATGTTTTGATTAAGACCACAGACGTTGATGGACGAAATACTTGGAAAATTTTACGATATACACAATGAAAGTGTTTAGTTTTTATTTCTTTTTGTTTACCGGGAATTTTCCGAAATATTTGCGTACCCCTTCCCTTCTTGTCACAATATAGGCTATTGATTATAGGATTTTAAAGGAACACTATGACGTTCAAGATATTTTATTACATGATGCGTTCAAATGGGCATTTTAGATGAAAAAACCGCGGAGTGCTATTAAATTAGAGGGTGGAAATTGGAGATAGGGGTGAAAATGCGCCCCTTTCAATTTTTTAATTGTAGCTCGAAAACGAAGCAAAATTTCGGTATAGTTCATAGGGAAAATTATTATATTATTAAAATGACTTATTATATTATTAAAATGACTTATTTAAAAAATTTAAAAGGAAAATTTTATGCAAAAAATCGTTAACAAACAATTTGAAAAAGCAAAAAATTCGATTTTTTAATATTTTTTTTACTTTTTTGCCTCTAGTTTTTTTTTGAGTAAAGATAGGTCTAGGCATTGCTTTATTGCTTCATAAAAAAGTAGATAAAATTCAAAAATGTAAAAAAAATCAAAAAAACTTATTTTTTACTTTTTTTAAATTGTTTATTAGCGATTTGTTGCATAAATTTGTTTTTAATTTTTTAAATAAGCCATTTCGATGGGAAATTCAAATCTCTACAAAATTTTTCCTATGAACTATACCGAAATTTGCTTCGTTCGTCTTATTTCTTTCCTATTTTTGCAAAAAATGAGAATTAAACCGTATAAGAGCGTAAAAAAACCGTAAAAATTGGCTAATCTCATCCAAAAATACTGTACAACCTCTTATTTTGAAGGAAATTTTATCTACTTTTTTTATGAAGCAATGCCTATACCTATCTTTCCTCAAAAAAAACTAGTTTGCAAAAAATAAAAAAATAAAAAAATCGAATTTTTTTGCTTTTCTTCAAATTGTTTATTCACGATTTTTTGCATAAAATTTTCCTTTTAAATTTTTTAAATAAGCCTCTTCGATGGGAAATTCAATTCTCTAAATAATTTTCCCTATGAACTATAGCGAAATTTTGCTTCGCTTTCGAGCCACAATTAAAAAACTGAAAGGGGTGCATTTTCACCCCTATTTCTAATTTCCACCCTCTAATTTAATAGCACTCCGCGGATTTTTCATCTAAAATGAGCCTTTGCACAGAAAATATGTCCTGGTGGTACCCTAAATCATATTTCTCGGTGCTGCCACTGTGGCGCTATACGCATGCCGTTGATTGAAGCCGAATAAAATGGATGTCAGAGTTCGAATTTCCAAGTATAACGAAGCAAAAATGCTTATCAATAAAATACTTCACGTTTCAGTCTCGCTGAAATTATGTATGAATAGAAATGTTTAGAAAGCATTTCTTTGGCAGCTAATGTAAATCGCTGTTCAATGTTGGTAATTATTTAAAATTTAACTTCGCTGGAAATCCAGACGAAAAAGAGATACCTATTTCGCTGCCTCGAAAAGCTCCGCCCCTTCCCATAAATTCGCTTCATTTCTTAATAGGAGCATCACGAAACTCGTAAAGAATGTTATTACGGAACGGATCTCATCAGCTTCAGAAAAAGCGTCTTTTATTAATAAATCATCCGGGAGCAGTTTTTGTTTTTAATAGCTCCGTCCGTGTAGGAATTTGATGGCTTTGTTGTTTTACAGGAGATTTTTATTGCCATAATTTCTACAGACGTAATCGCAACGATCCAAAAACAATTCTCTAGAATTATGAGTTAGTCATTACACAGACACCGGTCCGGCGTAAATATTATTAACTTAATGGAGGGGGCCGGTCCAGATTAGAAACTAATTTTAGTTTGGGAATCCACGAGATGTATCTATCAAAACACGAGAAATGAGAGAGTAAACAAATTCTTGTAGAGAAAAGCGCTGTTTTTTGAAAGTTACTGTGAACTGAGGCATTCAATATATTCAATTACGTAATGTCTAATAATTAAATTATTAAAACGAAATCGCTGCGACATCTATGGCTTGCTTTATGAACTTTGAGTTGTCAGGAACTGGCAGTAGATGGCACTGCATCTAGTTTTCAAGTTTCAAAACGTAACTGTACAGAAAATGAGATGTTGCATTTAATAATAAGAACTGGTATGAAGTTTGAGTTCATTTAACTATGTTGATTTCTAGTAAAGGTAATTCTATTTATATTTAGCAAAAATAAACTCATTTTGTAGGGATAAAATTAATTTATATGCGTGCGGTTTATTGTTTAGTGAAAATTACTTGTGTATGTCAAAACAAGACTTTTTTTAATTCAAACAAAGGAAAAAATCGGGTGATTTGTTTATTAAACTTGTGCATTGAAATTAAAACGCCACCTATGGCCTACCCTGTTGACCTCAATATTTGACAGAAACTGACTAGATGGCGCCAGAGTGTCTGCGTTTTGCATTTTTAAATTTAAATACGCAGGAAAACTAAAATGAACTATTTAATAGAAAACGACGATTTGACATTGTTTGGAACTATTTTAAATATTGCAGTAAAATGCATAAATCGGCATATTGCGGTAAAGTACCTTATTCAAAACGTTAACTATGTATTATAAAGTAAACCTTGACATTACAGATTCGTCTAGATGACATCATAGTGTTCTTAAATTTAAAAATGTAAAAACAGAACGATTTCTTGTTTACTATTGCTAAAAAAAACTATATTCGTTTTTTTAATAAATAGTTGTACATGAAGATTAAGCGCCATCTATGACCCATCATGTTGACTAGAGAATAGGGAAAAAGTTAGAACATTTCAAAGATATGCATTAGATGGCGCCACAGTATGTAAATGCTTTGGATTCAAATTTAAAAGTGCAGCAAAGTTATATTTAAATGGTCTATTTAACAATATATTTTTATATCTATTTGTACTGCATTAAAATTCCTAAATTCATATATTGATATGTAAAAGTCATGCTTAATATTCGTCATTTCGTGAATATTTCTAATTTAGCCGTCAATTTTCTAAAAAAGCATAAATTACCTTTCTTTTCCTGTTTTTTTTAAATTCGTGTAGGCTAAAATAAAAAATTTTTTCCGAAAAGTTGCGGCAGCATTTATAGGAAATTTATTCCAGTTTTCGAAACTGATTGAAGACCCTTTTTGATGAAGATGAAGATGATGATTGAATATCCTTTTCCATTAAAAGTCCGATATTTCGATGAAAGATGGTCGTATCGAAATTTAAAATACAGGAAATTGAAGCTGAATAAACAAGCTATCTGGTCTATACAGTGGCTTAGCTAAAAAAAATGTTTCCAAGTCGGTGAACTCAGAAAAAAAAAGAAAATTTGCAATAATTTTATTTCACCTAAATACAGTCTGTCAAAAATCACGGAAAAACTTCGGAAATTCCTTTGACTTTTTAATTTGTTGCATTAGTGTATTTGCAATTACGGAAAATTATTTTCACCACCGGACTGGCCAAAACAACAACGAAACGCTTCATATCCACTCACCCATTTCGTCGATGATGGGCGCCATCCTCAGAGTGATCCCCACCAGCAACAGGCACATGAAAAGCAGTAGGCAGGCGGTCGCCACTATGGTCCACTTGGCCCTCCTGGACAGCTCGTCTTCGGTCAGGTTCTTGTAGCTGTCGTGGACATCGACGGGATCCACCAAGTGGGCGTGGTGCGTGGCCAGCCGCTTCTTCATCCTGCGCTTCCGTCTTCTCCTTCTCTTGCGTCGGGCGCGCCGCAGCGCCTCCTCGGAGATGATGGCGTCCGTCTCCACGTCGCCGAAGCCCTCGATCTTGAGGGAGATGTAGTCGTCGTCAAAGTGCATGCTGGAAGGTAAATAGTATGTGCATTTTCGATAATCAGAACCGTCGAGTCGAAATTAAAACTTATTGAGAACCCCGGGAATCGCACCCGAGTTACGTACTACACAAAAAGAGGTGAATAGTTGCGATTTTACTTATAGTTTATTTTCTTCCTTCTCGTACTCACAGTTCTCTGTTGATGTCCCTGTTGCAGCAGCATCGCGGTTTCTCCGAGAGCGACGAACAGCTGTTGTCGATGTAAATATTATCGTAGTTGATGGAGCGATTCCTGTCCTCCTCGCTGTTTAGGGACACTTCGCAGCTTCGTACTCTGCACTGATACTGTTGACTTTCGGGAGATGAAATCGAGACTTCCTGTTTCAGAGCTGGAAAGGCACAATCGAATAAAGAGGGGAATAGGGAATTTTTACAGGGCCGAGGGAAAAATCGAAAGCTAGATTCGAATCCGTAAAATTTGGTACATATGCTTTACAGATTTAGAAAAATCTGATTTGATTCGCCAGTAAATTGTCGTCACAATGCATTAAATGGTGTATCTGTATTTGTATTTGATTTATGTCTACTGCTTTCGATGTGCATGACAAATAATTTAGTTCAACACCTTCTCATAATATATTAGGTAGATCTTTAGGAACGACGGCGACGCCTGGAAGCGGTAAATGATAATACCCGAAGGGTCCACGGGCCTTCGGGTCTATTTATAAGTCTACTGGGAGCTCTAAAATACTCAACGAACACCTGAAGGGAACGCCTTTCCAATCATTTGAATTCTTCCTGCTCTATTTCACGCACCCAAACTTCGCCAGGTGATTTCCCGCCCCGTTTACATATTTTATACATGTACGTATAGTCGATTCGCGTTTAATTTCCAGCAGCGCAACCTTTTAGACATATAACCCATTCGTGATGACGTAACATTAAATATAACACAAGCCACTTCTGGTATCTTACCTTGTCTCTTGATCTGGCTCACGTTAACAACGTGGTGCTCCCTCTTTTTGTGCTTGGCGCCCTTTTCATCCTTCTGCGGCTTGGCTTCCTCGATCTTCGTCCTCTGGTTGGAACCGGAGGTGAATTTCAAACGTTTAAAGATACTCATCGGACTGGAGTTGACGCTGGAAGCCTTGCGACTGTCGTTCTTCAAGGCCTCCACTTTGTTTTCTACGAGGGTGTGGAGGATGGCTTCCAGTCGGGCTACGCCTGGCAGGACGCCTTGTTTCTGGGAGTCAGCGCACAGGTCTTCCGTCGAAACGGCTTTGTCAGTCATGGACATAGTTGCGTTTGGTTTCGAGAAATTATCTGAAAAAAAAAAAGAAATTGAAGCAAATTAGTTCAAAATTATTTGAAAAACACTGTGATAGCTTCTTGTACACGGAATATTGTGACTTCCTGTATATCCTCACCATTTCTAGATCCACGTGCCGCCACTGGTTTTTTATAAACGCTTTCGGTGCAGGTTTTACACGAATATATATCCGTTTTATGCAGAAATTAACAAGCGACATCAATATTTATTATTAGACGTAGTTACGACTTATTAGTTTACAGTAAAATTTGAAATGGGTCGTAAATCTCGCATTATGATATTTATTTTCCTCATTTCCGCACCATTCTGTGTTTCTTTGCTTCTGGAAAGGTTATGAAAATATATTATTTGACTAACAATAGTTTATTTTTGTCAGTAGGTAAATAAATGTATGTCCTACACAACAAATATAATTTGCAGGCTATTTCGGCGTATCCAAAGGCCACGACGTGATTGAAATTCGATTGTGCGGACTCCCACAGGGTCCCGATCTGAGGCCACAATATTTTATCGATCGTTATGATTGATCTTAGCGAAATTTTTTTATGTTAACGAAGTAAGATCTAAATTTGTGTGAGGGACTAAATTTACATTTAGAAAATCATCAGAGAATAAGAAAATTGGTTTGTAAACAGTACAAGCGAATTTTTCTCAATTTTTTCGTTCAAAAACAAGACACTGGAAATAGATCTGAATACGCATATCTAATTGCTAAATTTAAATTTTCTTATTCCGCAGGCTACTTGACAGATTAATTGTTTATGTTTACATTATCCCGATCCCGAACTCAATTAACTTAATTTGTTTCTTATTTATTCAGCTCCTAACACTTTTCACGGTTGACTCGAATAATAAATAAGTGTCATTCGGGAGTAAATAACCTGCCGGGTTCTTTTTTTATCCCAACAGTGATTTGTTTTAAGCTAAACAGTGGTTGGATGGGTTTTAGTCGATTTTCTTTTGTTTTTGGGAGCCAGCGAGTAGAAAAATCGAGGAACGTGGTATGTGACGTCATACGATACGGAAAATGTCGTATGTGCAGGATATATTTAAACAAAGGAAGCCAAAGTGCTATGAGATGGTCTTGGGGGTGCCAAAATATGGGGATTGGACCCTGTGTAACTCCAAAGTTGCTTCGTGTGCGAGTGAAATATGTTCAAGTTGAATTAAAGGAAATATTTTTCATTTAACCACGAGACTTGTACGGGTTTCCAACTTATTAGTAGGAATATGCCACGAGTGAAATACTGGTGTTGTTTTCGTAATACCTGCGGATTAGCAGGTCACTCTCTGCCAGTTTAACCGTGGCATTTAGTACCAGTACCCATTTACGATAAAACACACCCCCTAGTCTAAGGTTGAATATGCTATTATTTATATGTTTTCTAGTTAAAAACACGAAATAATTATTGCACATTCTTGTTTTTATGCTTTTTCAAATACTGCGTTATTCCAAATCTCTATGCGTATGTTCCAACATTTTTTAAATCTACAGATTCAAAATTGGAAAAAAAACATTTTATTTTAGAATAAAAAAAATTTAAATGAGTTTTAAATGGGTGCAATGGTGAGCGATTCTTCAATTGCAAGACGAACGGGTATATAATAAGGCGGTCTCTAGAAATACGAGTTTACTTCTCATTTTAATGGGTCAAAATATGATTAAAAAGCGATAATATTTTTATTACGCTGCCGGCTACCGAAATATATGACCTAGTTTGAACGCATTCACCTTTTTACCCACCAAAAAAACGTCGACAGACAATTTTTTTTAAACACATTTACAGTTAGTGCCGCTAATACATCATCTTCATGTTGCCTACTCAATTATTTACACAAAAAAGAATCTAACTGGTTAAAGCGACGAATGAGCGACAATTTTTTTTTAATAAACAGTTAATTTAAATGACTAAAACAAGTGGCAGCGGAGGAAGACGAACACTCACTCAACACTCTCTTACCTTCCCCTTTTCACATGTTCATCGGTGGCAGTCACAAAGAACAAACCGACACGTAAAACCCACACCTACATTTTCTCGAGCGAGAACATTTTTCCTGTACGCTTTCGGAAAATGCCTCGGTTTCGCTCTAAGCCGCCTGGATGTGTGCGTAGCGTACGGATGGGCCGGGGTGATGCTGCGTGCTTTGCGGATGGCCCACTTCGATCTGGAGGGCGCTCAGGGAGGAGAACTACCCCGAGTTGTAGCGTCGACGAGGGGGTGGGCGGCGCGCGTACGCGTAGTTCGTTACAACCGTCTGTCCCGTGGAAGGGGTGTCAGTTTCAACGTAAAGGGACAAAGGGAAGAGTTGCTTTTCGATGTTTTGGCGATAAGTTGACAGAATCTCTTTCAAAATGTCTTATTTTGTCACATTTCTGTACAGAATTAATTTACAGGGTTATGAATCATAAGTTTTAGATCAAACCTACCACACATGTTCATATTTCGCCCTTCAAGAATTAATTCAGGTGGCGAGCTAATTTTTTCATACTTTAAAGGCTACCTGTGTTGTTAAAATAATACGTACAGCTTATTTTGAGTCATCTTCTTGTAAAAATAGCAGTAATGATTATAATAATAACATATTAAAACGTCAGATTATATTTTACAGTAATTTCCATTATTTAATAATCGTGAAACCCGCCCCTGGAAATGTAGACTTCGATCCGGCCTTTTTGCTTGCACAGCAAACTTTGTTTTGGCTGTTACATACATCAAAATTCCTTATCGTCTTTGGAATAAATGAAAGTTTCTTTTATGTTCGGTCGGAATAAAAACATCCATTCCTCCGCCAATCTTCTACGTTTTTTCTGGCAATAATTCAAAGTGAAGGTCGCCTACAGGCTACAGGCCCCTTATGAAAAATATAGGACGCCCTTGAAAGATAATGAAGGGCAGAGTCGAGACTGCTTCTTTTGTGTGACGTATATATTGGGAATTTACACACAACAAAACATGGTTTATGAAAATGTAAATATACCTGCCCTATTTACTTAGGACTTTGGTACATAATAAATCATCATTTTAGGTGTAAAATATAACGTAAATGTATGAATATGTACAGAGTTATTTATTTCAAATTAGCTAAGTACTCAAATTTGGACGAAGCTACGATAAAATTGTATTTAACATCCTGTTAGATTCATCCAATTAGTTTCTGCCAGATATATCGACATTAATTTCGTTGCAGACATTTTCCGGGCTCATATCTCCCCCGCAATTCCTCTTAAGAAAGATATTGGATTTTTACGACTACATTCATTTATGGCATCCTAGTATTTTTAGATCGACAAACAGAAATAATGCCAGTCGTAAATATTCACTTTACGATTTGTTTTTAGCTTGTATAGGTTCGCGAATGGGTTCTTGAAGCAATTAAACAAAAATCAATTAGTTTCATGGTCAATTTCGACTTGTTATTGCAGACCATCAGTAATGGCTTTTGAGAAATGTTTCTGTTTGCTGAGACTATCGCACCTACCCAAATAATAGTAAGTACTTCTTAGTCGTTACTTAAGTTTTAGTAGTTTCAAAATAATGCAATTAAAAAAAATAATGAATCGGGTTATATACCATTCTGTTATCCACACTTTCGGTTTATTTTTGTCTCGAATTAATTTACAAATCCTTCGTCTTCTTCTTCTTCTGAGCACCACATATTAAACTTTATGATCTGCAGCCCACTGGTTCAAATGTTTGTGTTTTGCAAGCCGTTGTGGGAGAATGTAAATGGAGTTTGTAAACGTGTCATTTAATTTCTTCTGAATAATTTATGGCAGTAAATGAATTCACCTAGTCTAGTGTCATGAAATTTACCATTTTCGTAATATATTTCATTGTGAGTTGGTTTAAATAAAACTTTACACAGACATAACCTCATTTTGTTTTAGTATTTAACATTCCAAATATCACAATGTGCGACCAAAACGAACAAGAAATTAGTTTTAGACAACATAGCTGACATAAAAGACTTTAAGAAGTTACTGAGAACCAAAACAAACGTTTTAGTTTGTTTCTTCAATTCACCAAAGCAGGCTCAAAATGTTATCAAGGTGTTTAGGGATGTTGCCGATAATATTAAGGGTGAAGGGACCATGGCTCTGGTTGATTGTTCGGGGTATGTACGAGGCAAGTAAAAAGTTCTTTTAGTCGAACGGTTGTTTTAGGGATGCCAAGAAAATGTGCAAGAAGCTGAAGATTCAAAACGAACCGTACGTTGTAAAGCACTATAAAGATGGAGATTTCAACAAAGATTACGATAGAAAAATCACCGTAAGTTCCATGACTAATTTCATGAGGGACCCAACCGGTGATTTGCCTTGGGAGGAAGACACAAGCGCGACGGATGTAGTTCACATCCCCGATGCTAACGTAAGTGTTTTTTTATAACTATTCGCCTACTTTGATCGAATAAATAGGTCATCTTTGACAATTGCCGGGATCTCAGTAGACAGACTTTCGACAACATCAAATTATGTCACCAAAGAAGTACAGAAAATGCCTTTTTCATTCCAGACGCTAGCCAAACTCTTGAAAAAGGAGGCCAGGCCCATCCTTATCATGTTCTACGCTCCATGGTGCGGGTTCTGTAAATCTTTGAAACCCGAATACGCCGACGCCGCCTCCGAACTGAAAGACGAAGCCGTCCTGGCCGCTATCGACGTTAACAGGCCGGAAAATACCGTCGTTAGGTCGCATTACAACATAACCGGCTTTCCCACACTTCTATACTTTGCGTAAGTAATTATATTACATTTTTTTATGAACTATATCATTCCGATGCATTTTTTTTTAGGAACGGGCAGATGAAATATGTCTACGAAGGCGAAAACAAGAAAAATGCAATTATTTCCTTCATGCACAACCCACAAGCGGCCCCGGTGAAGATAAAGGAGCCCGAATGGTCGGACACGGACAGCGAGGTCGTCCACCTAACGTTGTCTAGTTTCGATCCTGTGATGAAGGAAGAGTCGTCCGTTCTGGTGATGTTCTACGCTCCGTGGTGTGGTCACTGTAAAAAAATGAAGCCGGAGTACGAATCTGCAGCTGCCCAGATGAAATCCGAGGGCGTAAGTATCGTGAAACGCTTAAACGGTTAACGTGAAAGTTATTTTCAGATCCAAGGTATGCTGGCGGCGATAGACGCGACCAAAGAACAAGCCCTAGCGTCGCGGTACTCCGTCAAAGGTTATCCCACGGTGATGTACTTCTCGTACGGCGAGCAGAAGTTCGACGTTAACTTCCGCGAGGCTCTGAAAATCATCGAGTTCATGCGGGACCCCAAAGAACCCCCGCCGCCTCCCCCGCCGGAGAAACCGTGGTCCGACGAGGAGAGCGACGTCGTCCACCTCACCGACGAGAACTTCAAGTCGTTCCTGAAGAAGAAGAAGCACGTGTTGGTGATTTTTTACGCGCCTTGTAAGTTTGACGGGTTAAGGCTGTGTCCGTTTCGATATTTGTGAACGTTTTAGGGTGTGGGCATTGCAAACGGGCCAAACCGGAATTCACGGAGGCAGCGGCCAGGTTCCGGGACGATCCGAAGGTGGAATTCGCAGCGGTGGACTGCACGATACACCAGACGGTTTGTACGGCCAACGACGTTAAGGGGTATCCCACTTTGAAGTACTTCAGTTACTACGTGAAGATTACGAAGCCGTACAACGGCGGGAGAACGGTAAGCCCTTTTTTTCTCATCGTTGTACTTAAAAACCCAAATTTCTTCCTTTACTTGTCCTTTTTGTTTTCCACGGCTTTCCCAGCAATTTCTTTTAATTATCCTCTTCCTCGTAAATCAGGAGTGGGATTTTTCCGTTTTACGAGTCTATAAGATGGAGGATTACGAAAAAATTTTATATAATTTATGGAAAGTTCAGTGAATTTCTCTCCTTTTTGCTTTTTATGCATTTCCTACAGCTTTCCGACAATATTCGTGAAATCAGAAGCGGGATTTTCCCATCACTTGAATTTCTTTTAGGCGGACGATTTCGTGCAGTTCATGTCGAACCCGGAGCTGGTCTCGGGGCCGGCCCCGCCCCCGAAAGAAACGTGGACGGTAGACCCGTCGATCCTCCACCTGAACGACGACAACTTCAAGCAGCAGGTGAAGAAACGGAAGGTGGTGCTGGTGATGTTCTACGCGCCGTGGTGCGGCCACTGCAAGAAAATGAAGCCGGATTACATGATGGCGGCGAAGGAGTTGCACGCCGCCGGCTTCCAGCACTGTATGGCCATGGTGGACTGCACGGAGAATCCCGAATTGGCGGAGGAGTACCAGATCTCTGGGTTCCCGACCATCAAGTTGTACATCAACGGGAAATACGTGAAGGATTATACGGGGTCGAGGACCGTTCAGGATCTGAAGAATTTCGTTCTGCCGTACGTTAAGGGGAAGGACGAGCTATGATTCGTATTTGTTTTGTACAGTTTTATACTTTTTTAAGATAAGTTACTTACCCGCGAAGAATACTCATTTTTTTTTTTGTACTACACACAGATCTGTACTTATTGGTGACTAATTTATTAAAATTCTTACAATTATTGTTGTGTTTCGTTCTTAATAGGAAAAAATACTAAATTAATGGAAAATTGTTCATATTTTTCGTTCAAACTTTGTAAAAATCCTTGATGAATGAAAATCTGTTCACATTTAGTATTTATACAAAATAAAATTTAAAAAAATTGAGAAAAAATACAAAATTTATTAAACCCCAAAATTTTATAAGATGAACTAAAATATTTCTTGTTTTATGCAAACTGAAGTCCGAAAAAAATAAAAATAAAAAAAATTATATGACGAACAAAAATATGCTTTGCGAAAATCATAAAAAAAATTGAAAAAAAAAAATTAAAGGATTTAATTTATTAGAACTTAAAATTTTATAGCTTGAAACAAAGAGTTATGCAAAGTTATGACGAACTAAAAATTTTTATATCTCGTATACAGTATGTCCACGGATCCAGTTTACAAGAGGACAAATGGACCAAAAAAGTGAACGATACGAAAAAAGGCATTCTTGATAAAAGTTTTTGCTTGTTTAGAGAATACTGATCACCATAACGAACTTCCGTTTTGTTGTACAGGGTGGATCAAAAACACAAAAATATTAATTTTGCGTAAGAGTGAACATACCTTATTTTGCAAGATACAAAAAAAGGCATTCTTGAGAAAAGTTGTTGCTTGTTTAGAAAATACGAATTGCCATGACGAACATCACTTTTATTGTACAGGGTGGGTCAAAAACAGAAATGTTATTTTGAGTAAGTGGAAACGTACCTTATTTTGCAAGATACGAAAAAAAGGCATTCTTGATAAAAGTTTTTGCTTATTTAAAAAATACGGATCACCATGACGAACTTCAATTTTGTTGTACAGGGTTGTAGTAATTACGTTCGTGCTATTTAAAAATTGCATTTAGTTTGGTACTTTGTTCCCCGTGTAAAAAATTAAATTTTTGATAAAGTGGCTCTTATTCATTTCTCAAGCAAAAACTTTTATCAAGAATGCCTTTTTTTCATATCTTGCAAAATAAAGCATGTTTACTCTTACGCAAAATAACATTTTTGTGTTTTTGACCTACCCTGTACAACAAAATTGAAGTTCCTCATGGTGATTCGTATTTTCTAAACAAGTAAGAACTTTTATCAAGAATGCCTTTTTTTCATATCTTGCAAATGTTTACTCTTTCGCAAAATAACATTTTTGTTTTTGACCCTCCCTGTACAACAAAATTGAAGTTCCTCATGGTGAATAGTATTTTCTACAGAAGTAAGAACTTTTATCAACAATGCCTTTTTTTCGTATCTTGCAAAATAAGGTATGTTTACTCTTATGCATAATTATATTTTTGTATTCTTGACCCACCCTGTACAACAAAACTGAAGTTCGTCATGGTGATTCGCATTTTCTAAACAAGGAAAAACTTTTGTAAAGAATGCCTTTTTTTCGTATTTTGCAAAATAAGGCATATTTACTCTTACGCAAAATAACGTTTTTGTGTTTTTGACCCACCCTGTACAACAAAATTGAAGTTCGTCATGGTAATTCGCATTTTTTAAACAAGCAAAATTTTTTATCAAGAATGCCCTTTTTTCGTATTTTGCAAAATAAGGTATATTTACTCTTACGCAAAATAACATTTTTGTTTTTTTGACCCACCCTGTACAATAAAACTGAGGTTCGTTATGGCGATCAGTATTTTATAAACAAGCAAAAACTTTTATCAAAAATGCCTTTTTTTCATAACTTGCAAAATAAAGTACGTTTCCTCTTACAACATAACATTTTTGTTTTTGATCCACCCTGTATAACAAAATTGAAGTTCGTCGTGATTATTATTTTTTAAAGAAATAAGAACTTTTATCAAGAATGCCTTTTTTTGTATCTTGCAAAATAAGGTATGTTCACTCTTACGCAAAATTAATATTTTTGCATTTTTGATCCACCCTGTACAACAAAATTGAAGTTCGTCAGGGTGATTCATATTTTCTAAACAAACAAAAACTTTTATCAAGAATTCCTTTTTTTCGTATCTCACTTTTTAGTCCATTCGTCCTTTCGTAAACTCAATCCACGCATACTAGATTAAAAAAACGAAATTAAAAAAATGTAAATCCAAGAAAGAATAAAACCCCCAAATTAATGCCTTGTACATCGTACCTTTTCGACGGGAGCAGGGGATTTAAAAAATATATAAACCTCAGTTAATTTTATTTATTTAGCACGTATAATACTACTTTTCCTTACATTTATCGACAAGACCATGATGTTATAATCGCTTCAAATAAATTACTTAATATCATAAATAGAAAGTTACGCTTACATCGAAATATTCACTGATCATAATAAAGACAAACTTATACTAAATATTGGAGACTACGGGCGATGTTTATTCAACGTTGCTGCAAAAAAAATTAAAAAAAATTAAGTTCAATGTTTAAGAATTTTGGTTATAAGCATAACAAATATTTCAAGATTTTCCTCGCTTTCGGAGTCGGTGTAAGTAAAATGTTTGCTCAAATTACAGTTTAAACATGGAAACATTTACTTATAAACAATTTTTTGTTTTCTTTCAAAGCTTCCATACCACACACAACCAAAACTACAGTTAGTATATCTCATTACCTCACAAGGTGCAATACTTACAGTGTTAGTGAATAAAAAATAATACTGTGGCATAATCACTTAATTTTTAACGGCCGGCAGCTAGACCGGACCTGAATACTCTTGATTTTCCCATTGCCTTGCTTGTAACGATCTTTAAAGTTACAAGTCGAAGAATCATAAGAATTGCCGCTTCTCGACAGTAGATTTCAGTGAAAAATTCCATTCCAAGTAAATATCGGTTACATGTAAATTTGGATTTCAATATTTCTAACTAAAATTTGTTCTTGAAAACATCGCAACACGTTCCTTGTCCAAATATTTAAAATTCCCACAAATTTTACATAAACAACCAAATTCTCAGTAAATATCGGTTAGTTCTACTTTATGTGTAAATTTAGAGGGAAATTTTGAATTCTCAAGATAAAGTCTCTTCTTGAAAACATCAGAACTCGGTTTTTTACATTAACTTCTCGAACCCCACAAATTTTACATTAATAACAAAATTTTTAGCAAACGTGTTGTTTTTGTGTAAAATTGGAGGGAAATCTCAATTTTATAAGATACATGTTTTTTTAAACTTCCCACAAATTTTACATCAATAACTAAAAAACATTGAACACAGGACGTTAGTGTGTAAAATTGGAGGGAAATCTCATTTTTCAAGATAAAATTCCTTGAAAACTGAAATATATTCTTTTTAAACTTCCCACAAATTATACATCAACTAAGGCATTCAACCCACGATGTTAGTGTTACTGCAAAACCTGAATAAAACCCAAAAGTAAATCGAACAAAATAAAAAGCGATAGTGTGGTAAAAATTGAGAACAGCCGGCAATTATGCCAGATTCGATCACTCTTGAATTTTTCACTTTGCTTGTTACAAGTTACAAGTCAAATTATATGGAGAATTACCGTTTTTTAACATAAACTTCAGTGAAGCAATATCTTGATTACAGAATATAGATTTTGAATTTATATTATAAAAAATTTCACAGCACTTAAAACAAATGTTAGTAGTCTATAAAAATAGATATATTTCATTATCCACACATGCTCGACACAATTAAATCCACCTACGAAAGTATTTTTGAGTAAACACTGGTTATTTCTACATTTACATGTAAATTTGGAGGGAAGTTTCGACTTTTCAAGATATTGTTTCGTCTTGAAAATGTCAAAACGTGTTTTTTCCCGCAAATTTTACAAACATTTAGATACAGAATGTTAGTTTTTCATATAAAAAGGTGAATTAAACCCAAAAGCAAATCAAACGAAACAAAAAGCAAACTAGTGTTGGGATGAAAGGAAAATGTTATTTTTCCAGATTTTACACAAAAAAATCTACTTTTTCATTAATTTTATAACTCGAAAGTCTTCATCACCTCAAATTACGCAAACATGATAAATTACTTCAATAAAATTAAAGATTTCCCGCAGTTTTTACGAAGATTCACAACATTTTCCCACCCAACTCTAAAACCAAAACAAACGCTATACAAGACACAGATCTAAGCGGCAGCTTTATTACGTTTATATAATATGTACATTTCCCAATATTAGTTACTGAAACACCCACAAATGCTTTGGACTTGATCAGATACATACACGATCCTCATAGTGTTGGTGAAGCCGGATCCCTGCTTCCATCCAGTCACCACGATGACCGGATCGCCGGTCTTGATGAACCCCTTGATCTTACCGAAATTAATACCGGCGTTAACCCTAGCGTCGACGTCCTTCAACCAATCCCCCAAACGTTCGGCTGGAAAATCGATTAATTCCGTATTTTTCCCACAAATTTACAAGTCAATGCTTACCTTCGTAATACAACGGCAGAATGGCTCTGTACAAGTGACTCTGACGTGCTGTCTGCGCGTTACGGGTTACAGCGATGACGGGGCACCTTGGCCTGTACTTGGAGATGAGGTGGGCGGACCTACCGGAGGTGGTGATCACGATAATCGCCGCTGCGAGGCTCTTGGCCGACGCCTCCACTGAGGAGATGGCCACGGTCCTGGCAACGTCCAGTGGTGGTTTCTCCTAAACGGGGAAAGTTTATGTCGTTTTTCTCTTAATGCAATTGGAAAAAATAGATAGAGAAGCAAATAATCTCATCTATTCTACAACACATAGTAAATTCCCGCATATTTTACAAATGGAGATGCGAGCTAACGGGCCAATTCTGCATCGGAATGGAAAGATAATTATGAAAAATTTTTAACTTACTTTGCAAGAGAAAGTATCTCCCAATTTTCCCACATAATTTACAAGTAGAACAAGAGCTGGTAGGTCAATTTTCAATTGATAGAATGACAGTTAAATAGATCATTCCACCTACTGTAGAAGAAAAAGCAATTTCCCACAAATTTTACAAATAGACACAAGAACTACTGCTTAGATTTTTGTGATGGGGACACAGTTAAATGAAACTTTACATCTGTTTTACAAAAAAAGTACCTTCCCACATATAATACAAGAATTACTAAATCAATTTGTCTTTAATGGAAAGTTTAATGAAATTTCAAAGAGAAAGGGCATATTTTGCAAACCTGATTGGACTAATTTTTCACAATCAAAAGAAACTTCCCACCTATTTTACGGCAAGAAGTAACTTCCCGCATATTTCACAAAAAAGGGCTAATGAGTAAATTTTTCATTGACTGAATAGTAATTAAACAAAAATCCCACCTATTTAAGACTTCCCGCACATTTTACGAATAAAAACAATGTTTCTTTACGAATAACCCGAAATAACATACAAGAACTGTCGAAATGACATTCTTACCGTTTCTGAGAGATCCAGGAACAACTCCTTCTGGTAGATGGCGGCCTCGGCCTCCTTGCAAATGTTAGCCATGGTGGAGACGCACTCCAGGGGGTAGTCTCCCTTGGCCGTCTCTCCCGACAACATCACGCAGTCGGCACCATCCAGGATGGCGTTGGCGACGTCGGAGCTCTCGGCACGCGTAGGCCTGGGCTTCTTGGTCATCGACTCCAACATCTGGGTGGCGCAGATCACGGGCTTGCCCGCCTTGTTGCAACGAGCGATCATGGACTTCTGGGCGAGGAATACTTTCTCGGTCGGGATCTCGATACCCAAATCGCCACGGGCCACCATTATGCCGTCGGAGGCTTCGATGATCTCGTCCATGTTGGTCATACCTTAAATAAGAGGGGAAATATGTAATTTTTTTTAAATTAAATCAATTGTTTTCGTTACAACCTTGCTGGTTCTCGATCTTGGAAATGATCAGGATCTTTTTCCCCTCGTCGCCGAGGATGCCCCTGATTTCGCCCAAAGCGGCGCCGTTTCTTATGAAAGAGGCGAAAATCATGTCGACGCCCTGTTCGACGCCGAACCGCAGGTCGGATTTGTCCTTTTCGGAAACCGCGGGTAAATCGACTGGAATTCCGGGAAGATTACAGCCTAAAAGCAAGACGTTTAAAAATATTTCCCGTAGTCACGTGTAAAATGAATCTGTACCTTTCCTACTGCCGAGAATACCCCCGTTCTCGATGGTGCAGGTGATGACGGACCCTTGGATGTTGTTGACGATGAGCGACATGAGCCCGTCGTCGACGAAGATGCGATCGCCCGCCTTGACCACTTTCAGAATATTGTCGTAGTCAACGTAGATGATATCCTTGGTCCCCTTGGACTCGTAGGCCTTGTCGGTGGTGAGCTTGATCTGCTCGCCTTTCTTGAGTTCCACCTCGGCAGAGCCGCCCTAGAAATAATTACACAACCTCAATCGTAACCCTCAAATCTTGCGACGTTCGACCTACCCCTTCCAACAATCCGGTACGGATCTCGGGGCCCTTGGTGTCCAAGGCGATGGCGAGGGGGTAGGGCATGCCGATCTTCTTGCTGTAACCCTCCACGGCGGTCCTGATGTTCTTTATGGTTTCGCCGTGGTATTCGTGGGAGCCGTGGGAGAAGTTGAGACGGGCCACGTTCATGCCGCACTCCATCATTTTTTCCAGGACGGACGGGTCTCTGGACGCGGGACCTAGATGAGAAGCACTCTATGTTACGCTGAGAGAAATTTTGACACGAGCATAGTGAATGTTTTGCTTGAAATTTTAAAAGTACCTTCCAAGCGTCTGTTGCAGTAAAAACTTGAGTCACTGTCTTACAAGTAAATAATTAAATTGAGACGATTCGTTGAACTTTTCTTCAAACATTTTTATGGGAAATGCACATAAAACATCACTTCAAATGATCAAATAACTTGGAATACGTCTAGAATAAGTTATATTTCAAATACCGCATCATATTAAAATCTAACCTAGTCAAACTTAAATCCTAACCTAACTTCTTTAGATTTCATGTAAATTTTGACACGAAAAGATATGAATTTTCTAACACTGAAAAAAATATGTTTTAAGATCAGATCTTGATAAATACCACAACAATTTAGCCTAGAGTATTCCTGAACTATGGTGTCTTTCAAAATTTGCAAGAATCAGGCTACAATTTTAAATATTGTAATAAAAAAAATGCATAAAATGGCAAACACAAAATGAAATTTTAAATTTGAAGCATAAAACGGCACAGAACAGCATAAAACTGTGGATGGTTTGGAGAAAATATTCATTCAGGTATTTAATTAAATTTTTAATGAAATAATTGCGAAAATGTTAACGATCCACGAATGTTTCGAAGTTTTTCAATGCTCAAATTCCATGGACAATAAATAATAATCAGAACTAACAAAAGTGATGAATTTTTGTATAAAATTAAACGTGTCGATATTTAACGCAGATTACGACTTAAAAAAACGAAGCCACTTTTGTCCAGTATCGGAAAACTAACTACACTCATTAAAATCCGAAAGATTTCCGTTTTATTACTGTTTCTACTGGATTTTATGTGTTTTAAGGCCATTTACATAATCTCGCAACACGTCAAAGTAAAATAAACATATTTATCGATGAATTAATTTTTTTTTTTGGGTCACCCCGTGCAAAAAGTAATTTCACGGTTTGTCGACGTCTGTTACAAACATCGTTTATTATGAAGGTCAGAATAAATTACCGATTAATAAAAAAAAAGTTACGACTTACCGATGGTACAAATGATCCCCGACAGCCTCACGAAAGAGGCCCTCGAGTTGATATCCAAAGCGCACCTGTGATCCAGGTGGGTCTCGGCGTCGGCAGCCTGGAGCTGGAACGGCAGGACGTTGGTACCCATCTGAAAGCAAAGCAGAACGTTCAGACTGGTTTAAACGGGTAGCTCGCGACTTCCATTTACGTTCAGGGACTTAAGGTCTGTATCCGTCGCCCACACCATCCTAACTCTATGAAAAACGAACCGTCTCCTAACGAGAGTAAAGCAAATTTTGGCTAATCGTACTCTTGATATGCCCTTGCATAACATGCCCCCACCACCCAGCAGGTGCCTGCCCCCCACCAGCACCATGTGTTGCTGAGTTTAAAATTAATATTTTCGCCGGTACAGGAAGAGGAAGGGAAAATAGGACTGGTTTTGTTGGTATTGATCAGGGAAGCCTTATTTACTGTTGTTTTTGCTCTGCAACTGAAGTTTCAGTGCAATGTGTGGGTTGAAACGAATCGTTACTAAAAATAAACCCCTCTTATGCAAACCAAAACGTAAGTTTATTAATAAACTGACAATTTTTTTTGTGCAATAAACTTCTTGAAGATCTAATTCTGATGCTTACTCTGCAATCTCTTGAAATTGGATAGTTTGGTTTGCTTTTGCCTTGCCATATGTTTGGCAACTTTTTCCAAACTGATACATTTATTTAGTTTTTTTAAATATTTATAAATCAATATACGTCTAATTTTGTTGTTTTTTTTTTCTTCTAATGGCAACTGCTTGTACAAAGAAGGAAAAGGAAAATTGATTTAAAAAAAATATGAGACATGCTAATTGCATGTCTCTTTATTAAACATTTAATGTCAATGACAAAAATAGCAGGACAAACCTAAAACAAGACGAAAACCTTCCCAATTTTTGTACAAAATTGTTTTCGAATCTCATAACGTATTTCAACATATTTCGCGACAAAAATTTTAAATAAGTTCTTTAACGTTCCATATCGCCCGATAGTCTATCAAAAGTCTAGACGATAACATTACGATATAAAATATTATTCATATCTTTACAAGCATTTATCTATTTTCCCGCATTGATAACTTTTCGTTCTTTTATCATCCCATTACAGATAATTAACTCAAACAGCAATTTTGTCTTATCTCATTATTAGCAGACTGACTATCCTTAACAAGGAAAAACATTACTCGCATTAAAATTGTTTGTCCAATTAAATGTAACTTCGGAAAAATAAGCCGTTTACAATAAAAAAATGAAACACGAGTTGCAAAACTCTTAAATTACTTACAATTTAAATTTAGCACCGAAAAAGTTACGATCTATTATCAACAAGCCAGTCCTATTTTCAAAAACTCCGTTTGTTGTAAGTAACAGTCACCATTTCTTTATATATTTTTTTCTATTCTAATTTACAACTAAATGTCTTTGTGACAATTTAAGAGCTTTCAAACTTCAACTATTTTTTAATTCTCTATTTAGAGAATAGAGATCTTCGGCCTCAAAGCTAGATTTTTTTGCACGAAAAGCATTAATTTAACAACCGATACCAATTAACCAATTTTTTTCATCAAAGCTACATTGTACGGATTAGTTTTAAATCCTTGATGATTTCGAAGCAAAACTTGCATTAACAATGAAATAGAATAATAATTTAAATTAATATTACTGGATCTAACTGGATTGCATTATGACCCACAGATTTTGTAATGATCAGGAAATGCAGTATTATAAATCATGATCAAGGATGAATTTGTTTACTGTTTAAAATTACAAACATGACCTTTTAATTCGAATTATTTTAATTCTGATAATTCTACTTTTTATCTACATTCCAAACAGTTTTTTTCTAACACTTAAATATCTTTACTACCTTAAAATTGACAGAACTGCACGATTTACGCTGGGCAGATTAATTTTAAACGTATTTTTTAGCAGAAGGTCGCAAAAAAAGTTAAATATAGATCGATAAGCGACAATTCCACTACGTAATCTCTAAATTTCGTGTTTTTTTTTATCTATCACATGTCATAATGCACAAAAGACCGGTTTTATTTACATGTCGAATGCATTTTTAATTACGAAATAAACTGTACATACCTTTCAGCAATAAATTACAAAAATTGTATAATATTTAAACTTGTAGGTTTATTAAAAATTAAATGCAAATTTTCACGCCCAAAATACCACTCACTGCTTGAGCTACTCGAATTGACGACTCAATTGAAACGTAGAGTAGAGGACAAGAAAGGTCAAATCAAATTTACCTAGGCTAGGGAGCACAGACCACCACTAGGGAGGGTTGTTATCGCCGCGTTCAGAATTATTCACCTAAATTACCTTAGAGTAACCTCGTGTAAGGTATCAGTGTAAGAAATAATTCCATGCAGAAAAACCGTAAAATTTTTAGTACAACATGATGTAGTACTTTATTCGCTTTAATGAATTATCATACAAGACAATTACACCCACTTAATATATATTTTAATTCTTATTTCAATATAATGGTGTATCTTATTCTTATGGGAATGATAATTTGGTTGCATTTTCTATTTTAAAACAATGTTACTATTTTTAAGACTTACATTTCGTACATTTTCCACAGCCTGCATGGTAGCTGAAAATCTGCGCTGGCCAGTTTATAAATCACAAACAACTGATAAGGATAAGATATTTTTTTTGAATAAACTAAATTTTTATCTTATGTTTGTTCTAAACGTGCTGGGAAGATGTAATTTGCTCTCGCGTTTATGATAATGATAAAAATCAAGCATTTTTATGTGTCTTACTAAGTGCTTTTATCTATTATAAACATCGTAAATACCAAGAGAGAAAAGAGTTCATATTTTTTCAAGCATTTTAAGAACATATTTTCTCACTATAAATAATTAGAAAGATTAAAGAAATGCCTAATTTAAAAATTATCTAAACACAGATATTTATTCTTTTAACTATTGCTTGTTTTATTTCAATTTTGACTCCCTGACATTATTTTGTATATAAAAAAGCTATATTGAGTTTTATCGCAGTGTATTATCCACTAACCCCCATTATTCAGTTATATAAACACAACTGAGAGATAGTGACACGAATTTTATTAACGTATTTCTTCATTATTTACTGACTGATATAGTAATAAAAAATTACTTACTTCAATAGTCGTCCGCCTCTCTATAGCTTTCATTTTTATTATTTCTTAGAAAAAAATACGACCGCACAATTTCCAATCACCACGTCTTCCCACAAACTAACCACTGTTAGAAACTGTTCGATATTTTTAAGATACTAAGGGCAGAGGTTAGAGATAACGGTTAGAAACCGTTCTCTTAGCACGCCTGCGACATTATCTTCGATAAGAATGAGTGAAATACAAAACAATTCATATTGTCATAAAAATTTCGTTTGGCTTAATTTTTAGAGTATACCTTTATTTTGTTTTGTTCAAGAATAATCACCAAAAGCAGTAAAAAGTAAAACAATTGTGAAAGATTATGAACATCCTGTAACTGAGCGTATTCATAATCGTGTACTATTACAGAACATTTAAAGATTATATTAAAACCATAAAATTAAGAAACACGAGTTGCATATTTAAAAAATGCGGTACAATCTTCAGGTTTTATTAACAAAAATGTGTGTTTCCAGTAAACTACTTCGAATTTTATTAAACTTTTTATAATTGCAGGTATCTGCTACATCGATACATTTGCCTGAGTTTCTGTACAGCTACATAGATGTCAGCAGAGTATTTAAAAGCTCGCTGGGCATTCGTGTTAGTTTCTAGTCAAATATTAAACTGCATTAATTAACTGTATAACATACTAATAAATTTAATTTGTATGTACAAACAACTTTATTTTATTATTTATGAGAACATTTCTGAAATAGACGGTAGTCTAAATTTTAAAACGTGCTCATTTATTTTTTCATGCCTTGTGCTGTGAAAGATATATTTTTTCTTATCGTGGTTGAGAAAGGTCAGTCGAGATACAAAAACAATTACTGATTAAAGATTATTGTCACTGTAGAGTGCAAAAATTCAAGTATTAATTAACTAATTATTGCTTTCCCGTCCAGATTTTTATTGTGTAACACAGATATGTTCCGAAAAGTCATAAATTGACAAAGTACGTGCCCCTCCATTTTGTAATTCCTGGCGAACACCGCGTTTTCTTAACCCTATTCATAGTAGGCGCATCAAAAGACTTCTTTTTAATACCTGCGGCAGGTACGAACGCTCAGACTACATCCAACGCAACCAACAGCTTAAGCGATAAAGAATCACGGCTCTGATTTAAATTAATGCTTCCGCTTCCCGACTTTCCGGAGGCGTTTTTTCTCCATAAATTTCCCCCTTTGCACACGGCGACGGACCAAAGCGGCGTTTCGCTTTTCATTTAAATTTAAGTGCGTCTCAAAAAGGTGCGATACATCATTTACGGATGGGATAAGCAGGAATCCGTGATTCCATTTATTCCACGGCTGACGCGATTTTTCCCGGCAGCATCCGTCTCGGTGCGACGTTGCCGGTTGTAGCGGCGATTGTTGTTACAATTCGTCGTATCGAAAGAAGCTGAATTAAAAATATACCAACGCTGGTGGCACAGTTTGTTTTCTGGCTCGAAGTCACGTTGGGGCCAATGTGGGTGCAGGGATTGCAAAAATTATTGCCAATTTCATCAGAACCGTAAATTTGGATTCAAATAAAGAAGGTACTAGATGTCTAAAGGTCACAGGCCTTCAAAGACTTTTTTCGTTTAACTTTTCACGATACTTCAGACACTTTTTAAAATATTTCGATGAAACTTGGCATAGGTGAGTGTTTCATATTTTACGGAGGTTAAAATGTACTACTTAAAATGTCTAAACTTGTTATATTTGTTGATTTAACAACCACCTATTTCGATAAAAAATGTGGCGGCATATTCGAAAGTTCCCTCCAATTCCCCCCTCCATTTTTTAGGTGTGGAAGAGAAGCGAGGCAATGGACCAATGGAGAGTAGTGTTCTGTCGTTCTGTCTTCTGTCAGTTTATGTTAGTGTCGTGCCAGTGCCTAAATTAGAGGAATGTGAGTGTTAAGTATGTTGTGAGAAAATAATTGTCAATTGTCCAAATCAAAGTTATTAAACAAGTAAAATAAATCAAACTAAAATTATTATTAACCAGTGAATCAGTGCTAAATAATTATTCCGTCTGCTAGGACAGGCAAACAAATGAAACATCAGAAGGTGCTTCGAACACATTCAAACATCGGTGCTTCTAGATTCGCTGGTTTACCAGCAAGTATTGTGAGCCGAACAGCATAGCAGAGAGGTGTGCACCTGGAGGTCTTCGTCAAGGAAAGCAGCAACGAGGCCGAGGATCGTTCGACATCAAGTTAAAGCAACGAGCCCTTCACAACTTGTGATGGATCGTATTCGTATGAGCCGTATGTCAAGTACGACTCATCGTGTTGATACGAATGGTACGGCTCTTTATACAACATACGAAATACGTAGTACGGACATTTTTTAGTATTACGTTAAGCTAAAGAAATTCTGGCGCTGCTAGTATAGCACCTATTTAGAGGCGGCGGCAGCGCAGAATCGACTCGGCATTTTTATAAGGCATTTAAGTGTTTTAATTTGGCATAATTTTATTACAGATTGCAAATTTACTTTGAGTTGATAAATAAATATCCATGCATCCAAATAATAATAAAAATATCGGATAGTCAGTTTATTTAAAAAAAGAACATAAAATAAACTATAAAAATAACAAAATAATTAAAAATAAAATACGTTTTAGGTACGTGGTAAAGTTCGAACACGAATCAGTATATATTCGTTCGTTTATTATAGTGTTACGTACTTTAAAAACTTTATTTACTTGAAAATACATTTGCATATTTTGTTTTAAACTTGTAACTTTTTTTTCATCTCTCGCAACAACGTACCATTGAACTATGAACCTCTGAACACAAGACAAGATACATCAGTTAGTTACAAAGAAATGCCTCAAGAGGGCCATTGCCAACTACAAATAAATAAAATTCCTAACAATAGTTTATATGATATCTTTAAAAGGTCAGTTTACATTTTTAGACAATTTTGGCGAATCGTCAGAATCTATCACGCGTTTAAAGACACGCCTTGATGCGGTTTCATTTGTTTTTGTAGAATTTGATAACGTTCAAACAGAAATTGACGCTATTTTGCACATCCTACATTGTTAGTTGCAAGAGCAAATAAAAAAACAAGTAATTTTGTCACTTATTTACTAAGTAATTTTTTTTCATATTATCATTCTACATGTCATTCCCCGTCATAGAGTGCAGTGAAATGTCTATTAATAATTTTTTTTTGGTTCAAACCGTATTCGACACTGGAGTAATAATAAACGCATATGAATCGAATAAACAAATTCAAAACTCTTATTCAATCAACGATATCCGATCTTACCAACGCGCGATCAGAAAAATCAATGTATTATAATCCAGCAAGTTCTCCAAACTTTGGGAGGCAGATAATAAAGCAGTCAAAAATCACCTGAAACGCATTCTAAATATATTCATAGTTCTATACTCTTAACCCAAATCGAAGCTGTTCTGAATCGAAGACCCTTCACCCTTCTATCCAATGATCCCCAAGACCTTGAGGCTTTGACCCAGGCCACTTCATAAGTGGGGAGCCGCTCGATTCAATGTCGAAAACACCACCACAACATTGGGCAAAGGCAGAATAACAGCGATCCATCCATAGCACGAGGATATAGTGAGGGTAGTGACTGTTAAAACACCTAGTGATATAGTGAGATGTGCACCAAAGAGGGTTTGCGTCTCGGTTTGCGTGCTACCATTAGACTCTAGTTAAGTTACGCGTCTTCACCTCGTTTGGGAGTGTAATATTAGGTTAGAGTAGTGTTAAGGAGGTACATCGGGGTCCGAGGGAAGTGAGGATCGCAGGGGGGGTCCTATGCGTTTCTTATGGGACTAAAACCCGCTGCCAACTTGGAAAAATTAAATTCTATTGAAATTATTTGCGATAGACATCTATGTAGCAAAGAAATCTACTCAATATGCACATAGGATACATATTGAAAATTAACAACATAAAAATGTCATATTTAAGTAGTTTTAAATTATATTTAATGAACGCATAAACACTATGTAGATGTGGCAACAGCGCTAATAATAATCGAGTGCAGTTGTTCACACTGCGAACCTACAGACCTCGTACATCGGAGATATTGCGCGTCAAATTCGG